GGTTATAACGCTCAAAAACAAATCTGAAGAATAAGGGTGTACCTGCGTTAATTTTTTAAAAATATTGATTTATGCCCTTGACCCCCTTAATTCTCATCTCCCTCAGTTTTCAAAAAATTCTCTGCAGATTGGTCCACGCCTAAGGGTTCTTTTTTCTCCAACATCTGAAAAGCCTTCCATTACTTATCGGGTAAATCGAGGACTACACACTTGATTTAAGGAGCTCACACCCTTTGGTCCCTGTTTGAAGGGCCTGGCGCACTTTATTTAGAAATGCCGCCGTTTTTTTTTTTTGATAAAAACGGGTTCAAAATCGAAAACGAAAGAAAGAGTTCTTTTCAAATCAAAAGAAGAAGGCGAAAATCAACTCGTGAAAATGAGTGTTGTAATACGGCATCTTTCTCGAAAAAGCAGTTAACTGTAAATCCGGCAGCTCTTGCTATACACAGAGGGATGAGCCGCAGCAGAAGCCGACGTAGCTTTGGCGCAATAGTTTAACTCAAAGCAGCGAAAATCCAATCCAAACGCGGCGCAGACACGTTACCAATCCAAACTCAAAGCATCTGCACATTTTAACGCTCATCTGATTTTTACGCCGAAAATTCGCGACTTTGAAAAATAATTCAGATAAAAGTCATTTCCAATTTTAAAGTAAATAAAAATCATAAATGCAAAATCTTAATTTTTTTGAATTTGTTTTTTGACTTTTGAGATTATATTTTTGATCAAAAAAAATGTATAATTTATTAATAATTATTAAAATAAAATTTATAAAATTATATATTTTTTTCAAAATATTTAATTAAAAAACAACTTATTAAAGATTTTTTTTTTAAATAATTGTAATTTATTTTTAAAATTTCTAAAAAACATAAAAATAAGGAGTGGGCGTTGAAAAAATGCAGGAGCGTAAAAGGGATGAAGCGGCGAAGCTCGAATTATGGCGAATTTAGTTTAGGACAGCTCCCGGGCTTAGAATTGAATCCACTGGCTTAGAAGGGATGACCTGGAACTACCAAGCCAAAATTTCAAAATTTCAAAATCTCAAAAATTTTGCAATTTGAAAACGAATGAAATTGCGTGGCAAAAAACTGTCCCAGGTGAAAGCAAAAAGAAAATATTTTTCGCGGAAAATAGCGTTTTCGATTCGATTTGGCGGCCGAAGCAAGCTCTAACTTTGGCACCTGCTGCGGCGACAAAGCAAGGGAGACACTCTAAAGATCATCAATTCCACTCGCAATCGTCAAAAATAACAACCGAGGAAAAATATCAGCACCTGCCAAAATTAGCTTCGCGGTAACTTCCTTGCTTTTTTTCAAAAGGTGCAAAAACTTAAGGAGCTCCACGACGATATTTTTAAAAAATATTTTTTCTTTCCGGTAAATTTTATTTTCGCTAAAAAATAGCAGATGAACTTTCAAAAGGTGTAAATTTCTCATGAAATTATCATATTGACACCCTTATTTTTTGATTTCTAATTTGACAACAAAATTTTTAAGGGAACCCGAGTCGATAAATAATTCAGTTGACTTTGAAACCATTAATAATGGTCCATTATTTTGCCTTATTATTTCGATTGAATATCAACTGGTGCTCCCTAAAATAATTAATGTCAAATCTAAAATAGAGAGCCAATGTTTCAATAAAAGTCGAAAAATAAGGGTCTCAATATGATAATTTTTGTTCAAAAGCCGACTTTTTCTTAGAAAGAAATCCTAGTTTATCGCTTTTTGACAATTTTTCTTTTAGAAAAATTACAGTTAGAAAATAGAACTTACGGCAAGCGTGAAAAAATGATGATTTCGAAGCTCATTATTTGGAATTTATTCGAAATATTATTTTAAAATCGATCAACTGAAACTAAATTGGGGGCTTGGAAGGCCATTCAAATCGCAAAATTACTATTCGCGCGAAATGTTAGCGGTTCAATTTATAAAAATATTTTCAGAATAGATATTCTAAAGAGAGATTTCGCGGTTTCGAAACCGTTCGAAAAATTTTATTCTCGAAATTTTCAGCGATTTTTTCTGATTTTTGCGCTCATTGATCATGAACCGGCGATTCTCGTAATTTATCTGAAAATCGGCGTTATCTTTTTCCGTTTTTGTCGCTTTTGAAATCCGCGAAAACTGGCAGATCGAGGCACGTGATTCGAAAGATAAGAACGGACCAGGTTACAAAAAATCATCGGATGCAGTTATGCCACCGCTGACGCCAGACAACTCATTTTTGGTGTTGACGGATTAGATGCTGGAAGATTTGATGGTGATAATAGACGTAATGATAAAAATCGTCGCGTACGCCCAGCGAGTCAGAGGTTATCTCTGGAAATTTTTGCAATTACGGAATTCGCTTGAAAAGAAGCCGCAATTTACAGTTTTTATATCAATTTTTTGTAAAAAATAAGTTATTTTTCGACAATAAATTTCGACAAATTTTGCGTGGACGGCTACTCAGTTGCTGATCGGTCGGTTAGCCGAATACAGGCTTCTGATTGGTTGAGAATTTCCTCGCAAAATTTGTCGAATTTTTTTTTTGTCGGTTCAAGACAACCCCCAATGGAATGGTTTTTCAAGGGTTAACCCTTATTTATTTAAGATAAAAAGAAAACACAAGAAAGCTAAAATTGAAATTATAATAGTGACGCCCTTATTTTTTCAAATTAAAAGAACCCTTACCTTAACCCTAACCCTAACTTTGTTTATCATTCTGAGTTTAGATCGTGACACCCTTATTTATTAACCCTAAGAATATGCCTGATATTTAACCTTGATAGTATTTTTCCTTAAGGGGGAGGTCCACGAGAATCAGAATCTTAGAAACAAATTTCCCGAAAAACCCGATTGTGTAAGTATTTCTTCTGGAGATCCCTGTTTGTGATTATTTTTTCTACGAAGAAAAAGTGACAAGATTATTGGTAAGACGAAAAAAGTGTTGTGGCAGAATGAGATTATTTCTGGCCTGAAAAGCCGCAGAGCCTAGAATTACTCTTCCCTCACTTCCTGTAAATTATCCGCTTCGTGAATCGCGCAGAATATCGCAGAAAATTTCTTTTTTTTTTTGCTTTTTTCAAGAAGCAAAAAAGGTCAAAATTTCATATTGCAAAAAGAATAATTTTGTTTGTTAAAAAAGGTTCCAGAAATCAGTCAGCTGGACCCGCATCTGCCAAAAGCGGGAATTCGCGGCTCAGGGGAGAGAAAAATAACGAAATTTAATTTTCACCGCTCCGTTATTTTTCAATCCAACTTGAAATTATATTTACCAAAACAGATTTTATTTTTTTTTCGCTGCTTGTTGAACAATATTTTTTTGAAAAATTTCGCAAGAAAAAATTTAAACAGCCAATTTTTTTAATTTTAGAAATTAAGGGTTCTCTTTGCAAATTTTATTCGGGAATTTCGCCAAAAAAACTCGAACTCTTACTTTCTTTTATTCAAAAATTAAGGGTATCTCTTAGTATTTTTTTTTGAAATTTTCAAAAAATAAAATCTATTTATTTTTTTTTCTAGTTAAAAATTAAGGGTGTCTCTTTGGATTATTTTTTGAGAATTTGTTAGAAAGGAATTTTTTTGCTTTGAAAAAGTTAGGGTTTCTCTTTGAAAATCTAAAAAAAAACAATTAAAAGCAAGTAAAATTTTGTTTTCCTCCTTATTTTCCCTTTTCGCGGAAAAGTCTAAAAAAGTATTTTAGAAGCTGTGCTGAGCTAAAATTTCAGATGTGGCTCTGATCCACTTGATTTTCAAGTGCGCAGCGCGGAGAGAGACGTAATCGCGCCCGACAGTAGAGCATCCTGTATTAAACGCATAAACTCGTTCACTCGATATTAAAGTTTCGTGACCTTCTAATTTCGGCTCAACTAGAGTTCAAAATCTGCCGGAAAAGCGGAAAGGAGAGCAGTCGGAAAACTGGGCTTTGCAACCTGTGTAAAAAACCTGAGTCAGGTTCAGAAGAACAAAAATGAAAAGCCGCGTAATGGCTATTTTTTAATCGAATCCGCAAAATATTGGCGAATCTGTTTTTCGGCTTCGTTTATTAAAAAGCTGCGGCTTTTCATTTTCGCTCCTGAGAGCCTGACTCAGGCTTTTTACACAGGTTTTCAGTAAAAAAATGACTCAAATCTTTGTTTTAGTATTTTAAAGCCAGTTATAAACGAAAAGGAAGACCACGTCCATTTTTCCCAATTTTGGTTGGTTGGGGATAAAGACGGAAAAACGTACAGTAAAAACCGCTGGTCTGGGACACCCCTAGTCCACCCACGTGTCCCAAACTAGAAGTATTTTCACTTTTGCTCTCGCGCGCCACTTTTGCTTTCGGGGTAAAGCGGTAAGTTTAAAAACACCCCGTGGGCGCGTGCCTTTGATCGTTAATTCGCCCGGGTGTCCCAAACCAGAAGGATTTTTAGGTGTCCCAAACCAGCGGTTTTCACTGTAGCTAGGCCGCGTTTTCAAAATAACCAAGATCGTGCCAGGATAAGCCGAGGGAAGGAGTTTTTGGCGGATTATTACCGTCAAGGTGAAAACACGCAGCTGGAAAAATTTTGAGTTTTTGTAAGTTTATTTGAAATAAGAAATTTACATGATGATTATTTTCGTATTCTTATATTCCAGCGGACAAAAGACGAATCTCCTTTGTGTTTGACCATTCCGGTTGAATCTGGCGTCAACTTTTTCGCCGAGTTGTAGCTCTTCCCATCATACAAGTCAATATCGTCCGCGTCGGCTTGAAAGTCGACGCGTTTTCTTAAAATAAAACTCTCAAATTCAAAAATCAATACCGTTGAAAGTAAGCCACAGTTTCCAGAATTGCCCGTCGCCGCCGTAGCTTTTGTCGCTTGATTGATGTCGTATTGTCCAGCCAGCTTCCGTCACTTCTAAATTTTTGAATTGATTAAATTTTATTCTGGATGAAAATCGCGTCCAAACAAAAATCAAAAAATAAAAATGCGATTTTATCCAATTCCTTCAAATTGAAATTATTTCCCAAGCCAGCTGCCATTGTTTTCAGAACTCGTCGCACTGCTGCTTCTTTGTGGCTGGATCGTTTATCGGGCAAGTCCTTGAAAAACCAAGTCCATTGATTTCAGGATTTTCCCCAAAAGAAGAACGAAGATTTTCCATCTCAGCAGTCTTTTTCTTGTTTTCCTTTGAGTCAGTTTCAAGTTTTCCTACGTACAGGTTTTGGTGTTTTTTCTTCTTCTCTTCTTGTTTCGAAATTCCTTCAGTCGTTTTTGTTATTCTTTCAGTATTATTGTTATGTTTTTCTCTGAGCTGCTTGAGATCTGCGATTTCTTCTTTCATCTCTTTTAAAAAGCACTCGGTCGTTTTTCGGACATCTTCGATCTGAATATCACGCTCCTGATTCGCCAATTCTGTGGTTTCTTTGAACATCTCAAGATCAGCGACTCTTTTTCCAATTTTCTATTTTTCTTTTTCAACTCGTTTCTTTCTTGCTGCAGATCGAACGCAAGAAGTCGAAAGGTCTCATTGTCTTTTTCAAGCTGATCTATTCTCTTAAGAATCGGCTGGATCACAGAATTATTGATTTGGGAACTCATTGCTGCATCGGTTGTTCCTTCGTTTTTGTAATCTCCAACGGTGCTTTAAAAGGGTCACCGTCTTATATCTTAACCCGTTGCCAAGTGCATCCCCGATGGTACAATCTAACCTGAGGCTCGAAATTCAGCATTACTATTGGCGTTTTCATTGTATAAATTATACTGTATAATTTATACACCTTCCGCTCGGCAACGTCTTAATCTTGGTACACTCTTATCAATTCCGAAATTCTGATGGGACATCTCTTGTAGCTTTTTTATTAAGAAGTATTAATTTGGCGGAGACCCAATCTAAAAGAAATAACGGATCGATTATCTTCGTTTGACATTTTGAAAAATATTAGCGAGTTTGGCTGTTCTCTAGCTTTTGTGAGAGGCTAATAAAATAATGCCAAATATTATGGCCAACGAATGAGTTGGCTATAAAATTAACGTGAAACTCCATCTGTAGAAAACTACAAGAAACTTACAAGACCAAAAACACAGCTTCAAATTTACCAACAAAGCTCAAAATCGCCAGCTGATGAATTTGATCGTTTCCCCACCCAAAAGCGCCAGAGCCAATTTCGCGAAAGCGCTGGCTTCTTTGTTTCTAGCGCTGTTTTCCAGTGTTGTGCACTCTCCAAGACACCTGACCTGTTTTGACCTGCTGTTGTGCGTTAGAGAGACTTGCTCGCTTTAGAAGCTGTTTTGAACAAAAGAAAAAAGTTTGTGAAACTTTTAGTTACTGATGATGATCCTTTGATCGAAAAGCTTCTAATAAATATACATAAGTACAAAAGAAAAAAGGCTTTTTTGAAAACGCTTCTTTTTTAGTTTATTTTGAACAGTTTTTTTGACAGTCAGATTTTTTGTTTTGTTTTGTTTTGAAGTTTTGTTTGTTTGTTTTTTTTCGTTTGAGAGAGGAATAACAGTATTTACAGTCGCTGCTGGCTATTTTCGTCGCTTTTAAAAAGAGTTCCTTTAGTGGATCGAAAATTATAAAATTAGAAAGTTTAGTTGTCTGACAAAGTCGATGAAAATCGCCGGCTAAGTCAAAAATCAACGGCTGTAAAATTGTTTATCGTTCCGAAGCGCCTTCTAACCACCTCAATGCATGATAAAACGCTTAACTGCTCCCACCCCAAAAATATCAGCAAGCGTTTTTGCTCGCAAAAGAGCCCAGGGAATTAGGCTATCGCACGATGAAAAACGGGGCTTTTTCATAACAGCGTTTTTTAGAAAAATTCGATAATAGAAGGGAAAGTTTACCTTGTTTAAAAATATCAGCTACAAAATTTGCGAAGGAGGCGAATCGACAGCTGATTGGCTTTTTCCAAATCAGCTCACTCAGCCAGCTCAGCTCACTCAGCTCAGCAAATTTGCAACTCTGCTTTTATGGTCTACAGGTGGCGCACTCTATTTATTCAGCCAATCAGAAGAGAACTAGCCACCAGCGCATTTTTATTGGCTAACTCTCTTCTGATTGGCTTGATATATGAATTGCGCCCTCTGGTGGCCATTATTGTTTAGTTTGGGAAACGAGCCAATCAGTTGTCGATTAGCCGCCTACGTAAATCTTGTCGCAGAAATTTTAGATACAGTAGAAGATACCCTTAATTATCGATAATTATTTTAAGATAAGTTTCGAAAAATGTTTTCAGGCCAAAAATCACTTTTTAACTGTTAGTGCCATCTTCACCGCCGTCTCAAACCGAGTCGAACGGTAAACAGCCGGAGTCCAAAATAAGGGACACCAAGATAAGGGACTTTTGGCTCGAAACGCCGAAAATCTGCGCCCTGTTTTGTATGTTTCTAATGTTAAATTGAACCAATTTAAGGGACTTTTTCGAAAATTCGGGACCGAAAAAGTCCCTTATTTTGGACTCCGGCTGTATGTATCTCTTGAAAATTCTAGAGTTTCGGGTACTTCCGGTCAAATTTACGAAATTCTAGTTTTCCACTGCCGTTTTTGATACAGAAATGGTACTATGGCATATAGCATATCAAAATGACCGCTAGGACGTGAGGAGTGCAGGGGTCTCAAAAAATAAGTACTTTTGCAAAGAAAAGTACCTAAAAATAATTATTTTGTGATTTTTAAGCACTAAAAATATCAAATTTCAAGAAATTTTCGATTTAAATATAGTTTTCTTTGTAGATTTATTTATAAGAGATAAAACTTGATTATCCATCTGCTTTCTGCCCGAAAAAATCATTATTGATATTTTAAGTGCTAAAAATCACAAAATAATTATTTTTAGGTACTTTTCTTTGCAAAAGTACTTATTTTTTGAGACCCCTGCACTCCTCACGTCCTAGCGGTCATTTTGATATGCTATATGCCATAGTACCATTTCTGTATCAAAAACGGCAGTGGAAAACTAGAATTTCGTAAATTTGACCGGAAGTACCCGAAACTCTAGAATTTTCAAGAGATACATATACCGTTCGACTCGGTTTGAGACGGCGGTGAAGATGGCACTAACAGTTACCGTCAACAATTTTCGAAAAATTTATTTTCCGAATTTTAAAATTTTGACCCCGGAAATGGATTCTACGGGCCAAAAAACGATTTTGAGGCTTCATTTTTGGGGGTCTATCTCGACTCTAACACCCCGAAAATCGCGTTTGAAAATTAGCTTTTTCGCCGAAAATGACGAAAATGACCTAATTTTGCTAAAATTTAAGATTTTTATTGGTCAAAAAGCGCCCGAACAAGTTTTTATGATGGATGAAACTTCCAGGCATACCTAGAAGCCAAAATATGGCTGTTTTGAAATTTTCGATTTTTCGAAGGAAATTGTTGACGGGGGTCCTTAAAAGTGATTTTTGGCCTGAAAACATTTTTCGAAACTTATCTAAAGGATAAAAATGATTCGGAATCTCTATTTGTTAAATTTTGATCTAAAAAAGTAACTCTTTTAAAATTTCTATATACAGTTGTTGACATTTTTCTCCACAGCAGCATTCGACCCTCTCAAAGTCTCGTTATTACACAAATCTTTGTTTAGGTTCTCTTTCGCTCTTTCTCTCTCCTGATTTTTTGAAAGAAACCGGCTAAGACGCAAACAGGAGTAATGCACTGACCCCGGTGAGAAAGAAACGCAAAACCACTCTCTGCTCGTTTTTGTAAGTCGCGGATTAAAACAGCAGGATTAAAGACAAAACTCAACGTGACTCACTTTCTAAGTTTTACTGTAATCGTCATGTTTTCTTTTGTTGAGAAAATAAGAGAGAGAACCTGGCCTGACTGTTGAAGCGTTTTTTTGTTGTTGATGAACTTTTTGAAACAATGCTTTTCTTGAGCTCTGGATTATTTAAAAAAAGAGAAAATTGCGTTTGGGTCGGTGCTTGATGTAAAAACCTGAGTCAGGCTACCCCAGAAAGCTGACTCAGGTTTTCGGTCAGGTTCTCAGCCCACCGTTGGTTTTCTTGTTCAACCAGATCATAATATCGAGTTTGCCGTATTTTCCAGAAGATGGCGCTGTTTGATCGACCAATCAGAAGAAAGGAAAATCAAACAGCGCCATTTTCAAAAAAATAGCTCGAAACAATAAAAAACATGGAAAAATGATTACTTTTCGTGTATTAAGGGTAGGGTCCCCGTACAGGCCCAAAGCAGCGAGACTCTCTTCCGAACCTATCAATGCTAAGAAGGCGTGTAATGGCTCAAATGAAAGTTCAATCTTAGATCTTCTGATTAACACGAGCTTTTTTCGAAATTCCAAGAGAAAAGTCATGTGCGGTTCGCTCAAAGTTGTCGTCTCAGCGAAAAATCGCGAAAATAGCCAATATTCAGGGCGACTCTCCTCCAAAGTGAGCAATGAAAACCCACTCGATTCTTTTGTAGGGTAAAGTTTGGACCCTAATCTTGAAAATGACACGAGCTTTTTTCAATTGGTCAAAATTTTCTATGTTAAAAATTTTAAAGTACGAAGGTACCCATTTTCTGTCCCTTTGACTCCGTGAATTGCCTTGCGGGCATAGCCCAAAAGGCGCCGTTCTCATCGCATATAGATGTCCTGAACGTAGGCTTTCCAAAAAGGTATCATATGACACCCTAACATAACGACCAAAAATTGTAAAAATTTTAAAATTTCCGCCTTTTAGCCAAAATGCACTAATTTTCGCCATTTTGAATTGCAATTTATGCGAAAATGGGTTGAGATAGAGATAATTCTCATAAGGAGTTTTTTGCTCAGAATTTCATAGAGATTCAGAAAAAGTGGTCAAAACCCGATTCTGAGACTTGACCCTGTACGGGGACCCTACCCTTAAAGTCGCGCGCGGCTACTTTTTCAAAAGTTAAATTAAGGGACTCCCACCCTTAAAAATTACGGTAAAAATTCTTTGAAAATCCATTTATTTCATAATTAACTGATAAAATTTCTTGCTCTCATTTTTTAGAAAGCAATTATTGATGGGAGGCCCTTAATAATCTCCAGTAAGTAAGATGTATCTGTTATTTCCTCCGTATAACTCTCAGATCTCGATTGCGTCCTGAATTTCTCGCGCAAATTCTGAAAGATGCGAACACGAATCTTTGAATTTCCGAATTTGTCAAAATTCAGCTTACGTGACACAGACAGTCCACTTTTTTCAAGTCCGCTCTTTTTTGAAAAGCGAAAAATCGATGAAAAAATATTCCAGAGCTTTCCTGTTCAGATGTCTTTATGCAGCGAGGGGAAGCTACACCCAGTGCTCGGCGTGACGCAGCAGCGGGAAAATTGTCGGCAACGTTGGGTAACTGATTCCTAGAAACGACGATTACTTAATATGGTGGTTTTATACTGAAAGTAATTGGAACACGGGAATCAATCTCGAATGTGTTTATTTACCCTGATAGGTGTGAGCAGAAAATAATAAAATATATATATTATATTTTATGTTATACCTGTGAAGTCAGGGAAAAGAATGATAAAATTATAGGGGTACAGTCGTTTTTATAGTGTAGGACACCACCCATCGGTGGCACGGACTTAGACTTGGTCGTATGAACTCGGCGTTGGCCATATCGCCAACGCTGGAAAAGAGAGGGGCGAGCTGTCAAGGTATGATGGAGTGAAAGCCTTGGCGTTGAGCGCGTCACGGCTCACTGAGCATAATTACGTTGACCACGCGCGCTAGAATTCCATATTTCGGAGCGAAAACAGTAGGAAAACCACTACATATTTTCCCCTTTTTATTTTTGAAGCGAAGCGTCCGTTGAGCGTAGAAATTTTTACTGTTCTTCAATTAAGTCCCAAACATTTTCTGGTAGAGAATTGTGCTGGATGGAGTTTTCGACTTGTAGAGATTCCGAATGTGAAGTTTCTGCATGATCGATTCGGTAAGTCGAGTAATTGTGAGCAAGATCATCTGTGAAAATTTTGATGTGAGTCCTCGCATATTCGAGCTGGTCGGAAAACGATTTTGAATCGGCTTCTAGAAATTTGAAAGCGATCCTTGAGGTGTAATATCGTTTTTCATAGATTGTTTGAAATTTTTTTCACCAATTCGATGCGAGTGTTTTTATCGACCAAAAGCTGATAGAGAATTGCTGTCTCACTTATCCAGTTGAGCAAACTGTCATGATTTTCAAAAAGCAATTCCTGGAGGTGGTTGATATCAAAGTGAAAGTGATCTTTAAGGGACTTAGCTTCGTTTTTCAATTCTTGCAAAAAGTCGAGCAGCGATTGCAAGTGTCTTTTGAAATTGAATTCGGTAAGAAGTGAATTGGAATAGTGATATCAAAGAGAGCAGGAATGATAAAGCGTTGAATGAGTCGCTTTGGAGGAGCGTTGTTGAGCAGGAAGAAATCATTTTGAAGAAAGGTCATTTTCGCGTTTTTCTCTTCTAAAAATGAGTATTGAACCAACCAGTACTCCTTTCAGAACCATATTTTTTGAGGCTAAAATGCGCCATCGAGTGTATCTTCCGGACGTTGTGAAGTCATTCCGATGTCTTTTCTTGTGATTTTTCGTGACCAGTGAGGAGTAGTCAAAGTCGTGAGTTGGGCCTTTCGTGATGGATATTTTTCTGTCTACTTCTTTTCCCCTTTTTATTTTTGGGCGAATGATCTTCACGAGCAGGGGATCGTTAATGAGCGCCACTGTGATTCGAGCGGTTATCTGTGTTATGAGAACATAAATCCACAGAGGCCTGCATGAAAACTTCGTAATAACGATCTGGTTGAGCATTACCAGTAAGCTGGATTCCCATTTGAGCTTGATCGGGGAAGTTAAATTTTTCTTATGAGCCAATTTCTAGTTGTGCATTGAATCGCCGAAGTTGTGAGGAACCAATTAACCAATTGACATCGATGTCGTGTGAGCAGGGCTTTAGACTACAGAGAGAGCGAGCAATCCAGTTATGAGTAAACGGTGGCTAGATAATGGGAACGCATATCTGAGCACCACCACGTCGTGAATCTGACGATTTGTGAGCGAGATAGTCGAGCAGCTATCTGTGAATCAGGTCGAGTTATGAGCAAAACTTCTAGACCATTAAAGGATTAGTCGAGCAGCTAATCACAGGACAACACTATCGTCGTGAGCGGAGACGATCTTTCCAAACGTTGTCGTGAGCTGAGTCATCTCTATCATTTGGCTTTTTATGATCTTTATGACTCGTTAACTTCTTTTCATTCTTCTGAGCAGGAATGATCTCATCTCTATCAACAAGGAGCGGTTGATCTTTATGAGAATTAATTTCAGACTTGTTCTTAACTTCGTCTTTTAGGACTTTCCCTTGTGATTCGGCCACGTCATCTTCCTTGATAATTTCTGTTCTGTTTAAGGCAGTCTTTCGTTTGAGCGGTCGAATCAGACTGATATGACGCCGATATTTTTCTTCGTAATTGGATATTTGATTGCAATCAGTTTGTGCATAATCGACAAGATATATAAAGACTTTTTCTAAGGGTTATTGAGCGAATATTATGTCCTTATGAGCGAGCGACGAAGTTCTTTGAGCGGTAATATCAGATGCATATATCTCACGAGCAGGAGATTGTTCTGATTCCTTTTCATGATTGACGAAAAACCTTCTGAGCAGTTGCACTGGCTAATGATTTCTAGCGTGAGCAATGTGCAAGTTTCGTTTTCAATCGTCAACGTGCGATTATTGGAGAACAAGTTGATCACGAGAAAAGAGAGCTTGTGATATTTGAGTTAAAAGCTTCTCGTGAGTAGACAGGCATTGCGAGCAGTAGCCATAATTTGGATGTCCAGTTTTTTTTTAGCTTCTCAGAGCAGAGAAGGAATTCTTTGTGATCCATCTTTTTAACGAATTCTTATTAATAAGCCTTAATTTTGGAGCGATTTATCCAATATTCGTGAAGACATTTTATCGAGCAAATAATCATTTCCACATAACTCGTTGTTATTATTGTTTTCTTCACCAGAGTCATTATAATATATCTCTTTTTTTTAACGTCTGATGAGTTGGGATCGTTAACAAGTATGGCTTCATTTCGGAGATTGAGCGAATTATCTCCGACTGTTATATTAGAGCGGGTCCATACCAACCATTATTGGACATGTGACTTTCTGAACGACGAGCAGGTTCAGCTTGACTTTGGTGATGAAGATAAAAGTGTGGCCTCAATGAGTGAGTCGAGCGTTCTCACAATTAAAAATTTGCACACTTTTGTGGCACATTTGACGGTTCTTGATGAAAGGTGCAAATAGAAGAGCGGAAACATCTGAGCGGATGCTTGTTCTACTGCAACCAAAATTGATGAGCAGCATATTGGAGTCCATTAAGCAAGATATTTAAAACCAAATTTGTATTGCGCTCGTGATGAAATTTCCGTCATTTTTCTCATCATAAATTTTTTCGTCATTCGTTAATTTTTCGTCTCATAATTTTTGATATCTTTTTTTATATCATTAGATGCAATAAAGACGATTTTTCGAGCTTCGAGCAGAGCTGTGAATGTTTTGAGTTTGATTGATCATCAGCGGCGATAATATTCTGTTTTTCAGGATAGATCATTCTGTAGCACGCTGAGCAATATTTCGAAGATTGAGTAATAATTTTTCCCGTTTGAGCAGTTCCAAGAGCCAAGGTTGAGCTGTTACGAACCGTACACGAATTTCGCCATCTCTTTGGAATGAATAAGTATATTCAAATCTTAACTTTTCCCAGAAGGGTTATTACAATGAGGGAACTTTGATTTTCTTTTGTCAGGATTCGAAACATGACGACCTTGATGATTTCTTCTTAGATGAGCGATCATTTGATTGGTAATTTTCATGAAGTACACTTTGATTTTAAGTTGTCGTTTTCATGGATTTGATCATCAGTTTGATTTCCGGTTGAGGTCGGGGATTTTTGAAAGCAATGAGATTCCGTTTTTTCGAATTAAAAAAAATATCAACTTTTTCCGGAAGTAAAACTTTTTATCATATTTATCGAGAAAATCGGGTAAAATTGCCTAAGGATTCAAAACAATGCCCATTTTATCGAATAAATAAAGATATATAAGTATATATTCGCGGATCGTCATTGATAATTTCACGGGAAATTTATCTCTAGTTTCTCTTTTATATCTCTCTTGTTGGGCGTACCGATTATTTCAGTCACCAAAATATATGGTGGTTTTATACTGAAAGTAATTGGAACACGGGAATCAATCTCGAATGTGTTTATTTACCCTGATAGGTGTGAGCAGAAAATAATAAAATATATATATTATATTTTATGTTATACCTGTGAAGTCAGGGAAAAGAATGATAAAATTATAGGGGTACAGTCGTTTTTATAGTGTAGGACACCACCCATCGGTGGCACGGACTTAGACTTGGTCGTATGAACTCGGCGTTGGCCATATCGCCAACGCTGGAAAAGAGAGGGGCGAGCTGTCAAGGTATGATGGAGTGAAAGCCTTGGCGTTGAGCGCGTCACGGCTCACTGAGCATAATTACGTTGACCACGCGCGCTAGAATTCCATATTTCGGAGCGAAAACAGTAGGAAAACCACTACATTAAGGGTATCCATGGCATTAGGAAGTAAAATCAAAACTGTGACTGGCCAATAATTTTTAAGTGAAGACCCTTAATTAAGCCAAATTCAAATCAGCAACTCGGATTTTCTTTTAAATTTCTTTCAAAGTTATTATAGTGACACCCTTATTTCATTCCCCAAATCATAGTTGAAACAAACTCATAATTCAAATAAAACATCTTTCTCAAATTTAAGCGGGAAAAATAAAGGTGTCACTCAGTTTAACAAAGCTTGAAGAAAAATCTATAATATGAAGGGTATCCCCTTAGAGGGTAACCTCAGATTATGTATTTTCCCTCTAACTTTGACCCTTACTTATCCCCTTATTTGATTCGCTGTTTTTTTTTTCAGTAGCTCAAATAAATTACTCTTTCGTTGAACCTCGTTGAAATATAAAATATCAAAAATTGCTCAACTGCGTTTCATCTCTTTATTTGATAAGTGATGAGTTTAGCGATGAAATTTATCGAATTTGCTCGCAGCCGGGCGCATTTCTCACAGCCCTGAAATTTGCGTTTTCGTTAGAGGGTTCTTCTAGCGCATTAAAATTTAGCTTTTTGCCGGCTTGTGAAAATAGCGATTTATCTTTTGAACTCTTCTTCGAAAGTTTGCACTTTTTAGATTTTCGTAATCTAATTTTTGGCTTTATAAAATCGGGGTTAAGATCTTTTCGATACCTTTTCTTAGAATCAGGGTTCGAAAACCTGTGTAAAAACCTGAGTCAGGGTCCGAGAAGAGCTTGTTTTCCGTCAGCACCCTGACTCAGGTTTTAGCACACATTTAAGAGCCCATATTCTAGCTTCTTACAGGTTCGAACCGTTCGACAGCTTATGTGAAAACCTGAGTCAGGCCTTCATAAAAATCGTATGAATCCTGACTCAGGTTTCTACACAGGTTGTCGAGCCTCTAAGAAGCTAGAACCTGAAATCTAAAATCTGTGCTCAAAACCTGAGTCAGGGTGCTTTCAAAGCTGCGAAACTTCAATAAGGACCCTTACTCAGGTTTTGTACACAGGGTGCCGAACTCAGCAAAAACAGTACTGCTTTAGAAAAAGGACTTTCCTTCACGAAGCAGAAAAACCGCAGTGTTCGACCGCGAAATCAGCAAAAAGTTCACCGCTCTCAAATTTTCCTTAACAAAAATATTTTTCTAAAAACTGGCGAATTCCGATCGGAAACATGGCTTTTTCCATTTTTCCGCTGGATTTTTTGTTTTTGTTAATTTTTAGAATTTGGTTGAACCGCACGTTTAGTTTCAAACCGAGCTGAAATTTTGGAGAGGCCGAAAATTGGAATTGGCAAAACAGAAAAAGTGGGGAGTTAGTATTTTCGCGGCGGGATTTGTTATAAGAACAGGATTTAGAAAATCGACGGTTACTGTTTTTGCTTGTTTCCAGAATGTTATTTTTCCTCGCAGATCAATCTATCGTCGTGACACCCTTATTTCTCCGAAAAAAGATGAGAGTATTTGTGTTTCTTTTATTTGGAGAAATCAGGGTGTCACTCTGGAAACAAGCAAGTAAATCGCACGCAATAACTTTAAACTGATTCTCGGTGCATAGTCTTTTGACACCCTTATTCACTTCAAGGTGACCGAAGACAGGATAAATAAGGGTGTCAATATGCTATCCCTATCGAAAAAACCCTAGATTTTCAGTTTGATAACTTAAATTTTGATTTTTCCGTGTGACAACATTATTTTCTCTGCTAAAAAACTATTTAAGAAAAAAAAATAAGGGTATCACTTCACTAGTCAGTCTTTAGAAGCTTTTGTAGAAAAATATCATTTATTTCCGAAGACTGGCTAACGAAGTGATACCCTTATTTTTTCCATTTAAAAGTGTTCCATTGAAAATAAAGTGGAAAAAATAAGGGTGTCACAAGGAAAAATCTAAAGGGCTGATAACTGAATGAAAGATAAATTTCGAGTTAAGTAAAAAATGAGATCATTCAAAAACCACGTAATCAAGCCCTTTAGGTTCTTTCCCGCTCGTCAAATTTTAGTAAGTCGCAGTTGAAATTCAACCCCCGAAATACGTAAAAGCCAAAATTCGTTACCTGGTATGAACAGTTCTCGATAATGCTTGATTTGAAGCTCCTGCGCGAGAGCTTGATTGATCGCTTCTTTTTCCTGGTCAGCGCCGTCGCTAGAATTTCAAATCAAGATTTAGCCGTTTTTTCAGAAAGAAAAAACATCTCGGACGAGAGACAGTTCGAAAGAAAAGCGACAGTTTTACACCTTTTCTGAAGGAATTATCATTTTGGATGAGACAGCCGAAGCAAAGAAATTCAAGCAAACAAACAACTTTTTAGAAATCAGGGAAAAAAGTTCAAATCTTGACCAAAATTAATAAGCCGCTTGCGGCTTTCAATCTGCTTTTTAATACAAATTTTCATCTTTACAAAAAAGCCGCAATCGGCTTTTTCACAAATTTTCGTATGTTGTAAAAACCGCGTGCGGCTTTTTCAGTTCATTTTATTTTTGATTCCGAAAACCTGTGTAGAAAACCTGAGTCAGGGCCTGAAAGATCTTCAGTGAAAAGCCGCGTAGCGGCTTTTAAAACGGAGCCGCGAAGCGGCTTCGCAAAAATTAGAAAAGAGATTGGAATACTTATTTTGCGAAGCCGCTTTGCGGCTTCGTTTCTAAAAGGCGCTACGCGGCTTTTCATGAGAATTATTTTAGACCCTAACTCTGGTTTTCTACACAGGTTGCCGAGCTTAGTTTCTTTATATTTTTTAAAAATCATTAAAATTGTAGTCATCTTTGTTCTGCTAAAATCAGCGAAATTCAACCCCAGTTTTCGTTTTTTCAAGCGTTGTTTTACAGAAGTACTTTGGTCCGTTGCGAAGTGAAGAGGTTAAAATTAGTTGACCGATAAAACGCGAAATAGAAAGCCGAAAAACGTTCTTTAGAAAAAGAATTATAATTATTCTGGTTATTTTTACCTGCGAAGCTCGACGGGCGTATTGTTTATTCGACGGGGCAACTTGTCGACTTTTTATCGGTTCAAAAGAAAGTTGCTTTGTGGAACTTATCAATTCGCCGCGGCGCGAATAATTCGCGCTTTCTACATCGCCTATCTTGTCCTTTTTCGTTAGAAAGACGCGTTTTTCTTTGTTTGCTTAAACTTTTGTTCTAAAGAAAAACACATTTTCAATTCGAGGAACTTAAGGGTATCACAAGCGAAATAATAACTTGTCAAAATTTTAAATCATAGAAGATGAACAATTATAAAACAAAAATAAGGGTGTGCACTTAAGAAATAAATGATTCCAAAAAGTCCTTTAGGGATGGTACACCCTTATTCCATTTTACTTTTTTTCACAAAAATTACTCAAAAACTTATTTTAAATAAAATTAGGGGCTTGCTCCTATAAAAATAACGCCAAAAATTAAGTTTAAAAATTAATGAGTAGATACCCTTAAAATTTTTGATTGGCAATCAAATTGATTGTGATAGCCAGGAAAAGCTAGAAACTCGTTTTTATTTAAATATTTTGCATAAAATATTTTTTCTTGAATTAAAAAGTTCATTTTCGGAGGGAAAAACTTAAGGGCATCCCTAGAAAAATGATGAAGCGTCCAAAGTTGACATAACCGTGAAAACTAAGAGCGCATCATTTGTAAAATTAATTTTGAGGAGCTCGAAAACTTTGTCTTCTTACGAGTTTATTCCGGATTCAAACGGCAATCGAAAATTGTTCAACTACGAAGAGCAATTAATTCGAAAGAAAACGTTTTTAATTATAATAATTTGTCTGTTCGTCAGTCCTCATCACTAATTGCTGCTTAGTAATTACGAGTTCCAGCTGATTAGGTAATTGAATTTGATTAAATGGCCAGGAAGCTAGCTTATTGTTCAATTAACCGGTATTTTTGATCGACAGATTAATTACGTGGGCGATAAACTAAATTCTGATTGGTCGAAAAATTTTAAAAAGTATTCTGATTGGCTCGAAATCTTGTAGTTTCGACAAATTGTAAAAACGGAGAAAATTCGCTTTTGAGCCAATCAGAATCCTGCATTTTGTTTTTGAACCAATCAAAACCCAGATAGCCGCCAATGCATAGTATGAGCAATTTTTACAAAAATTCAGAGAAAATCTGACGTTTTTGCTTTTTAATTATTCTTAAAAATAATTTAACAAAAATTATTACAGTTAATTCTTTTCAAAAAGAATTCCGGAGAACAGTCAATTTTGCTCAGCTTCTTTTTTAGTTGAGCTATTTTTATTGCTCCCTTGTTGGTATTCTCGAGATGCCTTTCTAAAAGCGCCCCAGAATGGCGATTGTCATTTGGCTTAAAATTCTGAACCGATTCCTTCGTGGCTGGAAAATGACGCCGACAGATTCCTGCTGACTTTTGAGGCTGAATTTGGGGATCGAAAATCGATTACTTTGTATTTTTTGGGAGAGATCGAAAACCGCAGATAGGGCGAATCAGGCATATAAATTTTGTTCGAAAACCCAAAGCGAACGCGAAGCGAAAGCGAAAAATTTTTCCAGCCAAAAAGCGAAGCGAAAGCGAAGCGAACGCCTATCTTGCACAGCGAAGCGAAAGCGAATTCGCCAAGCGAAAAATTCGCCAAAAGCGAAAAATTCGCCAAAAGCGAAAATTCGACAAGAGTGAAAATTCGCAAAAAGCGAAAATTCGCCAAAAGCGAAAATTCGCCGAAAGCGAAAATTCGTTGAAAGCGAAAATTCGCCGAAATTGAAAGATAAATTTGAATAAAACGCGATCTAATAAGATGAAAATTCGGCCCATTTTTCTAAGTTAGTTATATGACACAGTTTTGGAACGCCCAGAAGCTGAGCTTTCATTTGAGCCGTTTCCCGGTACTAAAAAATTCGATTGAAGAGATCGAGTTCCGATTTCGGATCTTCCAGTCCCATGAATTGCCTTGACCCCTTCTTCATGGCTTCTTCTGGGCTTTCTAAAACCGAGAATTTTTGAAGCCCTAAGTTAGGGCCCCTAATTAAGACTTTAATAGGCTGCCATTGATGATTGTAGCCCAGGCTCTGGCAGTCATTTTGAGCTCTAGAAAATAAGGGCGGGGGTGGGGTATCTAAATGCCTTCCAAAGTCATTTAATCGACGTTTATTCGTTCAAAACTGTTTATTATGTCGTTTGGGGTCAAATGAGGTCACTCTAGGTCAAGAATAATTGAAAATTCAGAAAACTTTAATAAGTGACCCGACCTGACCTCAGATGACCCCAAATGACAATTTCAACAGTTTTAAATGAATAAAAATCAATAAAAAGACTTTTTGGAAAAAGTAATCAATTTCTGCCGAGTTCTCCGACTTCAAGAGCCCCTAGCTCCCCAGATACCCCACCCCCTCCCTTCTTTTCTAGAGCTCAAAACACAGCCAGAGTCTGGGCTAAATGGGTTTACATTCGAGTAAAGGTGGCAGCCTCTAAAAGTCTTAGTTCTTCAAAAATTCCCATTTCCGAAGTTGGCCAGATTTTGGGACTTCGGAGGAACCTAAATGCCATCAGATCACCCCCACCTATCAGTAGCCAAATGATCACCAACTTCTATGGGTTCTAAAACTTTATTAAACTCCTACCCTACTAAGCTTGACAAAAAGCTCAATCAAAGTGATTTCTCTATTAATAAAGCTTTGAAAGACAAAAACGTAAGGTTCGGCGAAATATTGGCGAAAGCGAGAATTTGGCGAAATTTTGGCGAAAGCAAGGCCTTGGCGACAGCGAAATATTGGCGAAGATTTGCCAGAAGCGAAAATTTGGCGAAAGCGAGGCCTCGGCGAAAGCGAATTTTTGGCGAAAATCGGGGACAAAAAGCGAACATCAGGAGTGTCAATTTTCGATTCGCTTTCGCTTCGCTTTCGCTTTTGGCGAAAATCGCCAAGCGAATTTATATGCCTGGGGCGAATGAAAATGGGAAAAGAAAAGAGAGACGAGCTGGAGGGCTACTGATAAGGATGATAGAAATTTCGGTGAAATGAAGAGTCAAAGACATGGATGTCGCTAGAATTTAAAGCAGGAGCTCGTTTCTGGGGAGGTGTCTGGAACCGACAAAAATATTTCGACAAATTTTGCGTGGAAATTTTAAACCAATCAGAAGCCTTGATTCGGCTAGCCGGCTAATCAGCAGCCGAGTAGCCGCCAACGCAAAATTTGTCGAAATTTTTTTGTCTGTTCCCGACGTCACCCCCTTATTTTTAGCCCATTTTGAATCCCAAATATGGGTTTGATTGGCAACCTGTGTAGAAAACCTGAGTCAGGATTTAGCGAGAAACTAGATTGGAATAGCAATTTTCGAAGTGGAAACCTGAGGAGCGAACCTGAGTCAGGGTCCGAAATCGTCGCGGCTTTTTCTTAGCTCTTTCAGGACCCTGACTCAGGTCCCTGACTCAGGTTTTTTTTAAGCTTTTCGCTTTTAAAAAATAGGGTTTCCAATCTTAGTTATACCTGACTCAGGTTTTCAACACAGGCTGCCAAGCCCAGTATATTAACCAGAATTCAGTGAACTAGATTATTCCAACTTTTTTGATCCCGATTAGCGAAAAGCATAGATCCAGTTTTGGAAAACGAGACATCCGGGGAGAGAATGCAAATGTTGACTCCAGCCGAGCTCTGAATAAACTGATCCTGCTTATTTTGGGCGTCTAAGCGACTTACTTGCAAGTTGGAAAGATTCGTCAGATTTGTCGGGGTGTGGTTCAGCACTAATCCAGAGTACGAGTACGTCCCTTCTGAGCCGCCAGTTGTCGAGTCCTTTTAGAAACAAAATTGTTAAAATTTCGGAAAATTCGTAAATTGTTCAAAAAGGCGCTTTATCTAAAGAGCTGGACATTCCGCCAGGGCGCGAACTTTTCAGATAAAATTTTTCAAGCCTTGAGAACTACTCACTCAAACGAAAGCTAGAAAATACTGCATATTTTAGATAAAAAAGAATTTTGACTCAAAAGAACCTCAAATATTTACTGAATTAAATTTTAACAAACTAAAAATAATAAACAATTAATTCGATCTTAGGAATTAATTGAATTCTTTTTTGACCAATCAGAAGATGAAAATCATGATTTTCACGAGAGCCAATCAAAATTCGTTTCGATAATAAGAGCGAATTTTGATTGGCTCTTGTGGACCCTAATAAACGATCAAAAAGCTACGGCACGTTGGTTTTTTTAGTATTTCTGACTTCTGATTGGCCAATTAATCCCATATAGAGGCCCCAGTAGCGCTAACCCTAACCCTAACAGAAAAACCTTTTCAAGCTGGGCTTACCTTTAGCGGCACGATTCCGGATATTTTGTGGTATTCGGATTGATATGAAATGCGCGGCTTGCTAGATACAGTCACGGTCCTCCCTTTATTCGGAATTTCGAATGAACATTCCTTCCCCTCTAAATCCTCACTTCTAATCTCTTCTCCCTTTTAATTATTTCGCTAATTAAACCTTCCCTTTCTTAGACACGTTTTCCAATTTCTAACTTTTCAATTAAAGAAAAACTCTGAAAATCAACTGTATTTCCCGTGTGAGCCCCGCAAGCTGTGCAGAAAACCTGAGTCAGGTTTGAAGAGCTAAAAATTTATGAAAAGCCGCGTAGCGGCTTTTTCAAAGAAGAAACCGCGAAGCGGCTTTGCTATAATAATGCCGCTACGTGGCTATTCATTTTAGCCCTTTCAGACCCTGACTCAGGTTGCCGAGCCGAATTTCCCTCTGCCGCAAAATATTTTCCTGTTACCGAGTTTCCGGAAGGAAGCTAAGTTCCTGCCTGTTCCACGGTCCTTTTGATTATCAATATTTGACCTCAGAATCGTAATTTCTCCTCTCATTCGGTTAACCACGGAACAGCTCAAACTCGACCGCCGAGGCACGTGGCCATTTGTGGCCAAAGTCGCCTAATTCTCTCTTTTTTCTTTTTGTTGAATTAGAATACTTTCGCCGCCAAAAATTTTGTCAGACGCGTTTGCGATCAATCGCCTTTCCCGAACTCGCGTAATTTTTGTAATCGTCCTTATCTGATGCCGAATTGAGCGCTGTTCGCTCAGGATTTTAGAAATTCGAAAATCGGCAATTTTTCGAAAAAAAATGATTCAAAAACGTGTCTAAAAATAGGGACTGCGGAAACTGAGATTTCCCGAGAAAAAAGCCGCGCGCGGTTTTTCGACTCAAAAATGAGCTTTTTTGAGGTGCCGCGCGCGGCTTTTTTGGACAAATTCTCCACATTCTTCTTCTTCTTATTTTTGAAATTCCGTTCCTGGACCACTGTCGGATTCGAGTAATTCAGCTGTTCTTGGAACGTCGGAAGGCGTTTTCTGAAATAATTCAAAATTATTTGATTGATAAGCTTGATTTGAAGCGGATTGAGTAACAACAGTTCTTTGGGCTTTCCGGAGACGGACGCGAATTGTATTAGGCCAGAAGTGGTCACTGCTAACTCAATTCTAGCGTTCATTAACTGACGCAACTCTTTTTGCATCATCATTATTCCACAAGCCAGTTTTTTTCCACCAAAGAAGCGGGGGTGAATAAGAATTCTGAATTTTTATTGATCTAAAAATTCTGATTTCTGATTGGTCAGAAAATCATAACAGCGCCATCTTCTTGATTTGTTTTTCCACAAAGAAGATTTTCTCAGAAAAATGGGTTTTATGGAAAATTTTCTTGAAAAAAAATTGGCCAATAAGAAACGGAATTTTTTGGGAAAATATAAGATCGGATTTTTGGGAATTTCAAAATTCAAAAATGTTTCTTTTTCTTCGATTTTTTTGACGGAACTTTTAGCTCAACTAATCCCGATTTGCAAAATACTGTCAGAAAAGTTCCGCTGTATTCAAAATAGCCAGCACTGCTGATTTGGTACAATTAATGTGAGCGCAAAATAATTATCCGCCCGATTTTTTGAAAAATAAAGAATTTATTCGACCCCACCTTGATTTTTTTAAAATGAATTGTTTCAAAAATGCTCTTTTGTTTTGAGTTTTTAGAAAGGACTTAGAAAAATGAACATTTCCGAAAAATGGAAAAAAAAAGAAAAAGATGTTCCGCGTAATCCGGTTCCTAGATAACCGCTAAGGACGTTTTTAGAGCTTTTTTTTTGAGCACGTTTTTGGGGAAGTTAAAAATAAGGGAATAACCGTCTTTATTGCTAGATAAGCTGACCACCCCCTTCGCGAAATTTATCAAATGAAGTCACTTTTTTTAAAAATATTTTGAATTTCGAAAAAACGCCCCTCAAGAAATGTATTTTTTGGTGACAAGTCCTTGGAGGTATGACGCTGCGGCGAAAACGGATAGCTTATCCATTGACGGCCGTTTGCAAATATTTTATAAAAGTGAAGGGGCGAGCCCAGTTTCCAAACAACATTAGCAAGGAGATGAGCTGCTCGCTCCCCTCCCCAAGTAGCTACTTATCGCTACCACTGCCATCTCCACTAGGGCACGAAAAAATACGGACTTTGCTGGTTTTTTCTTGTTTTAAGAGCTCGGCGACCTGTGCACAAAACCTGAGTCAGGGTACGAATAAAGAAGTTGGCTTTTCCAAAATTTTTAAACAATATTGAAATTAGCCGCTTTGCGGCTTCGTTTTCAAAAAGCCGCAAGGCGGCTTTAATTGATATTCTATTTGTACCCTGACTCAGGTTTTCTTCACAGGTTGCGGAACTTAGCTTTTAAGCTGGCATTGCTTTACCCTCACCTTCTAGATTGGGCAACGTGTGTAAGAAACCTGAGTCAGGGTCAAAAAATATCGAAGCGGTTTTTTATTGGAGATCTTTTCAACCGTGACTCAGGTTTCTTACACAGGTTGCCGAACTTAGAAATTATGGTGATGGTAAAGTAAGTTAAAAAAAGCTTAAACCTGTGTAGAAAATCTGAGTCAGGGTAAGAAAAGAGCATTTATTAAAGCCGCCTTGCGGTTTTTTTTAAAACGAAGCCGCAAAGCGGCTAATTTTAATATTCTTCTTAAAATTTCCTTTTTCGTACCCTGACTCAGGTTTTCTGCACAGGTTGCCGAGCCTAGCATAATCTTTCTCCCTGAAAGTCTCACTTTTTTCACACTTCTTTCGCCTGAAAGAATAAAACCAAAAGCCCCTTAATCATGCGACCTCTAATCATTTGAACTTATAAATCGAAAGTCAAGTCCCTTGATCATTAATAAATGCTGGCGTAAATACTCGACCCTCGTCGCCTCATTTCAAGAATGCGCCAAAACATCAATCATTAGTAATGATTCATTACACAGTGGATTAGAAACCTCAAGACATTTTTGAATTGAACTTTTTTCGCCGCGGAAAAGAATTAAAAAGGCCAAATATTTTAAAAATTAATAAATTATAATCCGAATTGAAGTCGTCAGCCTTGTAAGAAATAAATACCAGCTACGTAATCGATTATTTGAGTATTTGGGATCAGCCAAAGCAGGGAGAACTTTGGGACGGGTAACAGGACATTTACGGGACTTGATTTCAAATAAAACGAAAAAAATGAAAAAAGGGGTGGCCATTTTAACGGATTTTCTATTAAGAAAACTGGTTTTTGACTCGAAAATCCGTTAAAAAAGCGGTTTTATAGAAAATTTTGGTGGGAACTGAGCTCAGCAACTTATGTAGAAAACCTGAGTCAGGGTCTGAAGAGCTGAAATGAAGAACTGCGTAGCGGCATTCAAAATTAAAGCCGCAAAGCGGCTTCGCAATAAATCCATTTCTATCTATTTTATGGTTTCTTGCAAAGCCGCTTCGCGGCTTTGTTCTGAAAAAGCCGCGATGCGGCTTTTCATTTGAGGTCTTTCAGACCCTGACTCAGGTTTTCTTCTCGACCCTATTTTAAATTTTTTTCGAAAAATAATTGGCCGTCTCCAGAAAAAGAAAAAAAGGAGGTTGAAAAGCGATCCGCCAGTTTGAAAGCGATAGAGAGTAAAATTACTTACGAAAATGGTGCCGGTAATTGATTTCTTGAGCTGTGTGGAGCTCAGATTCGGGAGAAAGTTGATGCCGCCGAGTTGACTCTGATTGCAGGATTTTCTATGTCTTTCTAGGGTTGATTCCAATGTACAAGGGAAATACTTTTCAGTGGGAGTGATACTTTCATTGATCGTGTTATTTTAGAATTTACTTTTTTGAGGGAAAAAAAAAACCAAATTTTTTTTACGAAGAAAATCGTAAAAATCGTTGATGGCGGCTATTCATGCTCTTATTTGACCCCAAGGCCTGATCAGACTTCTGATTGGCTAAGATAAATTTTGCATTATTTTCCCTTTTTTCGAGATATAAATCCAATTTGGCCGAGTTTTGAATAATCCAAATTCAAAATTACAAATTCAAAATATTCAAGTGCTCTCAAAATCATCAAGAAATTAGAAACTTCCGTAAAATTCCCTTTTCCGAAATTTCCCCGAAAAATCTGACCTTAACCCCTGCCCGCATGAAAAATTTGTCAACCCTGCCCGCATATCGACCTACGCGTAGGTCGGGCCTTTTTGGGGTCTTTTAGTCGGGATAAAATTTTCCAAAAGACATGGATGGAAAGATTAAAGGCTGAGCTTTCTCCTGGACAGGATCAAATGTCAAATGTCAGATGTCAAATGTCAACAAATGTCATCTTTTCAAAAGTACTCATTTTTGATAAAAAGAATAAGTCGTCAGCGCTCCAAATCTCGTCTAAAATAAATTTAAATATTTTCATGCAGTCATAAATACAGTAAAAATTTAGAATTCCGAACTTATATTATCTACTGAGCATTAATTTGATCAAATAGATCTTGCCGAGAACAGTTGAATCAAAGTTGGGTTTTGTCATGTTGACCCGAGATCAAAATTTCGCTCAATTGCTAAAATCTTAAATCTTTGAATAAATTTTATTTTGACCTTAGATCCTGATTCTCCATTAAAAAGTAGCCCGATATGTAGGGGTCAGCTTTATAGAAAATATTTACCAATCGCGAGATAATCGCGTTTAAAAGTCAATTTACCTACGCGTAGGTCGATATGCGGGCAGGGGTTAAATTTCCCAAATTCCAACAACCAATCTTATCAAAAAACGACTGTAACTTAAATTCTAGCGCTAGCTGTCATTTTTTGTCATTTCTCATGTTTTTTTTCCCGAATTTCTCGTCTCCAATCGAGTTTGTTTTAAAATTTAAAAACAGGTGCTTGTCAGAAAAGTTCACAGAAAATTTTAAAGCAACTGTATTTCTCAAAAACCTGGACGATATTTTGAGAAATTACCTTTCTCAAGTACGTTTGGGACCCTTTTTTCGAGAGTCCTTTTGGCTAATTCGCCGCTTTGGTCTCTAATTCGTCGCGGAAACTGGATGAACGTCTTGAACTCTTGAAACCAATTTTGGTTTTTAATCTCGCGCCTTATCCAAGCGCGGTGGAGTTAGCTCATCCTTTAAATTTCCCCATTAATCTCGATTCCTCCCGACTTTGCGGCTCTTTCAGCTTTAACGACTACCCTTTTTCTTCTCCTGTTTTCCTCACATGCAAAAATACTACCCAACTCCCCTCGCAGCAGCAGGGGAAAAAAGCTGATAACAAAAGTGCTTTGGGGGAATACTTACGAAAAAAAATGATAAGAAAAAAATTCGGAAAAATATTATTTCTTATAAACTATTTTTCTTGGCTCGACAACCTGTCTAGAAAACCTAAGTCAGGTTCTGAAAAAGTTAAGACGAAAAGCCGCATAGCGGCTTTAAAAAAAGAAGCCGCAAAACTTAAAAATAGATGAGATCACAAAATTTGCAAGGCCGCTTCGCGGCTTCGTTTATAAAAAAGCCGCTTTGCGATTTTTCTTTTTAGCTCTTTCAGGGCCTAACTCAGGTTTTTCACTCAGGTCGCCGAGCCCTGAATCATTTCCTACTGATTATTTTTCTCAAAACTTTTCACGGTTGTTTCCTAAATTTACGCCTCCACGTCGTTTTTCCCTTAAATTTCTCGCGTTGGAAATCTCCCGGACTTGACTGTCAGCTCGTTGGAACAAACGTGTCCGTTCCGCCGTCCTGACAAAGGTCGGAAATGTCCTCCCACGAGATTCTCCAGCGTTTTTTTATCAGCCCAGATTCAACCTTTCTTTTTTTGGCTGTTGCTCGTTTTTTCTCGTTTGCGTACTTTTTCGTTTCGATAAAGGAATTAGTGTCACGTTTCTAAAGATAAAAAAAGACCCGTTTTTGGTTTAAAAAAAGAACGGTGACGAAATAAGATATTTTTTGGACTCAAAAAAGACGCGAAAATGTTATCGCCAAAAAGCCACATGGGAAAATAGGCGATAAGAAAAAGCCAATTTTCGTAACTTGACTTCGATTTTCTAAAGATAATGTCGTTTTCAGCCACTTTAGTTCGGTAATTTCTTCACTTTCTATTTTTTTCTATTTTGCCCTAATCTAAGAAAATCCTCAAGTGGGGATTCTGAGGATCGAGCAAAGTGCCAAAGCGCGAAACAAGTTTTTAACTGGACCAACGAGGAACATCTTATTTTACTTAGTAATCGGGGTTTGAGCAGTTAATGTCCACTGAAAATCAAATTGTAAGTAATGACTGGTATTTTTGGAGAAAAGAAGGTCAAAAATGAAATTCGAACCGACCCCGGCGAAGTGGAAAATATTTGCTTTGGACATGAAAATAGACGCTGTATCGCATTTTTTCAGCATTTTTCTGAAAAATCACCGGGTAGAGAAGTTTGAAGAAAAGTAGGGAAAATGTCGATGATCGATACGGTCATTAATGAGCGATACAAAGTGATAGAAGAGATCAAACCGCCTAGAGATGGGAAAATTTACTTGCTCGTGGAGGACTTGAAAGAAAGTAAGTAGAAACGCAAACAGTATCTAACTCTTACAATTATTGAAGAAGACGAATACGGCGATAATTTTAAAAGAATGCTGAAAGGAATATTTCTTTTTGGGGAAAAAGAGCGCGAAGAGGCAGGGCTAGAAGTTGATCTTCTCAAGCAACTTGTTAAGGTTCCTAATAATATTGCTTTTACCAGTACATTTATGTTGGTAAATAAAAGTGAACCGACAGAAAGACCACCCAAATGTTATAAAGCTCTATGACGATTTTGAGTTTACAAGTCCGGAGAATTATCAATATCACGCGATGATTCTCGAATATATGGAAGATGGGAATTTGGCTGATTATTGCAAGAAAAAACTTGAAGAAGATTCAGACGGAGAGGAAGAATTTGCGCTGACTGTTTCAGCTCAATTGGTTTGCGCGTTAGGTAAGTCGTGATAAACGAAAAAGAAAGAAATTATAAAGAAATGATGCATAATAAGTCGTTTGTCATATTCAAATTTTTCAGATCACATTCACGATCAAAACATTATCCACAGAGATGTCAAGCCGGAGAATGTAATGCTGGATTACAAAACGGTATCAAATCGTCATTTTAGGCTAAGCTAGCAGATTTCAACATCTCTCGTGCAGCTGAAGGAACAGTGACAACTAACGTCGCTGGAACACCTGATTATTTACCCCCGGAAGCGATTAAAAATCCTGAAAGTGAGAAACTTTGCTTTCGAAGAGACATGTGGGGCCTCGGAATCATTTTTCAAATGCTTTGCACTTTTAGGATCAGCTCAAAATAAAGATAATGATTTTCTTCTTTGAAAAATATATTTCAACTGAGAAAAGGCATCCCTTCGCCGGCAAAAATTCGTTTGAGACAATGATGAACATCGTTAACAATAAACGAACACCAGCTGAAGTAGCTTTTCCGTCGATGGAGAGTCTTATCAAGCAATGCCTCGTCCCGGAAATCAGCGAAAGAGTCGAAAGTGCATCCGCGCTGATGAAACATCCGTCTCTTTACAGCCTGATCGAGCAGCTCAACAATGGAATTGAACCCCATGATTTGGAATTTGGAAAAAATCGAGTAGAAACTTTGGAGATTGTCAATGAATATTTAAAAGATGAAAGCGATGAACTCAAGGAGGAAAAATCATCTCTACAAGATCGACTCGAAAATCTGTGGAAAATTGGGATTGGCCATTACTACGGTTTGGACAGTGACGACGTGCGAGATGAACACTCAGAGACTGATGTTCGAAGCATTCTAAAGGCAATCGACAACGGCGGCGTGCGAAAGATAAATTTGAAGGAATTGGATAAAATCGCATTTTTTTAGTTTTTTGATTTTTTTTTCGATGCTATTTTCATCCAAAATAAAGTTTGTAAACGACAAAAATTTAGAAGTGTCAGAAGCTGGCTGGACAATCCGACATCAAACGTGGCACGAAGACTACGGCGGCGACGGCTTCTGGAAAATGTGGATTCTTTTCAACGGTATTGATTGTTGAATTTGAGATTTTTATTTTTTAGGAAAACGCGTCGACTTTCAAGCCGACGCGGACGATATTGGCTATGGAACTGGGAACAGCTACAACTCGGCGAAGAAGTTGACGCCGGATTCACAAGGAATGGTTAAACTCAAAGGAGACTCTGCTTTTGTCCGCTGGAATATTACAATCAGAACATGACTTTGTAATACCTTTGGACTGTACATAAATTAATTATAATTGATTCAAATATAGTTAAAAAATCCTAGTAATTGCAAATTACTGCAAGCAAAATGAAAAAATAATCGAAGAAAAAAATAATTTTGATTACGATCAATCTCAAAAAAAATTAATTGCCAATACTACTCGTCATTTAACCCTTTGGGCGCACGTGGCGTTTTTAAACGCCACGAGGACTTTGGCGGGGCATTTCTCTTAAAATTTCTCGACGGATAGATAAAATTTTTATTTTTCTGAAAAGTTCGGACATTTTTCTATAAACTGATCATTTAAAACTATGATTTTTACGAGAAGAACTTGTTCTAAAATCGAAAAGAAAAAGTCTGACTCGTCCAAAATAGGCGTTACTCACGCGCTTTTCCCTTCAAAGAGGGAAAACAGAGGGAGAGCGCGCGGCGCCGTCCTGTTTTTGGTCAATCTTCAGTGGCTATTTACAGTTATTTCCGACGGAGATAAAAGATAAAATTGGCATCAATGGATAGCCCAAACGATTTTCTATCAATAAGTTTTTTCAAAGTAAGAGAAATGAATTAAGAAATGCTTCAAAATCGAGAAAAACTTCGTGGCGTTTTAAAACGCCACGCGTTTGCCAACGCACAGGGCCAGGCTCGCGCCCAATGAGTTAAAATTTTCTTTGAAAATCCTTAGATAAGTTTCGACGCCCTCTGGAATGGTCGGCAGCGTTCTGGTGATTGTCGAAATGTCGATCGGGTAGCGGAAGGGCGGCGGGTTCTTGAGCGGGCTACTCTGGGCGATCTAAATATTTGAATTGAAATACTCGAAGCACGACTGGGAATGTGCTCTGTTGATTTTCTGTTTATGGCGCGGCACTCGTAGTTGCGATAATACTCCTTCAAACTTGTACCGAAGCTACCAGCGTTTTGCGCCAATGAGAGTTTGACGAGCCAAGCCAGCCCAGTTTATTAAGGACTGTAGTTGGGAAAAATAAAGAAAGTACATCCTGGGCTCGGAGCCCTGTGAAGAAAACCTGAGTCAGGCTATGAAAGAGCAGAAAGAGCGTAGCGGCTTCGCATATACTGTATATTATACAGTATATCATATACTGTATATGGTATACTCCAATTAGAATTAGGTAGGCGAAACCACTTTGTGGCTAAGTTTATTAAAAATTCGCTTGCGGCTTTTTCTTAGCTCTTTCAGTGCCTGACTCAGGTTTTTTTCACAGGTTGCCGAGCCCGGATTTACCTCTGATTCCGAGCTTCGCACCCTGTGTACAAAACCTGAGTCAAGATTCTTAAAGAATCCTTGCTTTCAAATTAAGCCGCAACGCGGCTATTCATTGGTGTTTTTTCCGACCCTGACTCAGCTTTTCTACTCAGGTGGTCGAGCTCCGTCCCGGAGAAAGTCCGGCTCAAGAATGTTTTTTTTTTAATTTTGCGGCTAAAAAGTTCATGCGCTTGTTTCTCGAGAACCAGTTACCTGGTTTCATCGACAAATTTTCGTTTTCTCCTGAGCACCGCTCTTTAAATTTTCATCCGGCGTTTGAAAAAAAAACGAAGCTCGCTTAGCTCATCGTTTTTGTCATTTTGCTACGTAGAAGCACTTGTATTTTTGCGCCAAAATCCGGGCTCAGGTGATACATACAAGGGCCAGACTCAACTCGTTTTATAATATTTATCAAACAGGGGGGAACTTACAACAACCATGGTTTAGGCTTATGACTCGCAGGTTTAAGGGCGTGGGTCTTGTTAAACTAGATTTGCGATTTGATTTTTGGAGAGAACTTAACATATTGATGCCCTTATTTTTTATATTTCAAGTTAATTTTTTTTTTCAAAAAGTGTTTTTTCTGTGATTTTAAGGGTGTCAAAGTGTTAATTTTCGAAAATAAATTAAATTTAACAATACAGAATTCAATCTTAGTTTTTAAGTAACCATTCATCTGTCTTTTTTTCTGTTTTTATTTTTTCATATCATCTCTATTAATTAAATTATATTGATAATAAAATTCTAGGAAAAAATAATAATATTCTATTTTTTCAGATTCTTCCAGTTTGACTCGGCGCCTCTTTTCCCCGCTCTCCTCCGCTTGGTCCTCCGCGCGATCAAATAAGCGCCCGCTGGAAATTTGTCTTTCCATTTTTCACTGCCAGAAAAAAAAAGAGAAAAAAGCTGAAATGTCTCGAATAATCGGGCGAACTTTGCGAATTCGGCAGATTTTTTTGAAAGAGCTTCGCCAAAACATAAATCAGCGGAGAAATTTGGGTTTGGCGGCGAATATCGGCGAGTTTGGAGAAAGAGACGCCTTTATCACCGAAGGGCTGCCTTCTAGAGATGTTCAAGTGGAAGAATTTGCGGCTTATGTGGTCAAGACTCAGACGGATAATGTCGGAATCGCTTTTCCAGCCACTTTGCAGGGCGGAGCATATGGATTCGGAAAGGTAAGATTTCAAAAATAGTAGTAAATCGCTTTTCCAAAAGTATTTGTATTACAAACTTTTGAGTCGATTAAAGGTTTCCCCTTTGATAACCAAAATTAAATTCCTTTAAATTTATGCTTCATTCTGAGTTAAATTTCGCTTCAAAACATTAAGGGTATCCCTTGCAAATCAGCGAAAAGATAAATAATTTATCAAAAACTCATTTTTACGATGATAAAACATATCTTAGCGACACCCTTAATATTTTTATTCTGAGGATTGCAAGAAGAAATGGTTTTTGCTACTTTAGGCTAAAAATATTAAGGGTATCACCTGGATATGAGTTCTTATTGTGGAAATAAGTTTTTGAGAAACGATTTATCTTTTCGATGATAAGCTAGAGATACCCTTATTTTTTTAAGTGAAAATTAGCTCAAAATGATGATCGATCTTCTAGGAATCCAAAAATACCCTATAAAGGACCTCCCCACGTTAAAATCTTGGAAGGAAAGCGCTCTGAATGACATAACAGACTGAGTTCAGGTCGGCCGGTTAGATCAGAGCATGATCGTAGTGCCCAGCTTCCGCACGCTTCCCGACGGAAAGCTGCTGCAATCGCCGAAGGAAGCCAAATATATTTACAAAATGAAGATAATCTTCGCCAGTCCAAACTACCCTCTGTACTTTGCGGTTCCGATAGAATTCGGGTTCAACCAGAACACGCTTTTTCATAATCATATATAATACGACATTTCAAAAATATCCTACATTAAGGGTATCACTCTTCTCGAACAACTTTTTGCTTTAATCAAAATTAAGGGTATCCCCCGCGTTGTCCTTCCGAATTAGATTTCAGATGAAAAACGCTGGGGATACCCTTAATTTTTGAATCTCAAAACTATACTCCCTTATTTTTCATTTTTTTAATTATTTCATTTTGTGAACCCTTGAAAAGAGCCTGTCGGAGCAGTCTACCAGACAGGTATTTCCTTACACCGACCATATCCTTACACCGACCAAATCCTTACACCGACCAATTCCTTACACCGACCAAATTCTGAAAATGGTCGGTGTAAGGATTTTGGTCGGTGTAAGGAAAATGGAAATGAAATTTTTTCAAAAGCGAAAAATAAAGGTCTTCCCAAAAAAATATCTTACTCTACCCCCATTGAGCACTTTTTTTTTAAACATTGAAATATTATATTCTGACTCATAACTAGGGGAAATCACTAATAATTCGACTTTTTTCTGGGCTTAGTAGGGTGAGCATATAATACAGTTTTAGAAAGCTCAGGAGCTGGAGATCATTTTCATTTTTGAGAGGGGGGATGATTTCGTACCCTGAGGGCATTTAGGTACCTCTGAAGTCCCGAAATCTGGCCAATTTCGGAAATGGAAATTTTTGAAGCCCTAACTAAGCTTTTGAAAGGCTGCCTACTAGCCTAGATTGTAGCCTAGGCCCTGGCGGTCATTGGCGAGCCCAAGAAAACCTGGGAGGGGGTGAGTCCAGGGTTTGAAATCTGAAAATTTTGCGTGAGCACGAGCACGCGTGAGCACGACTGTGCTCTATAAATTATAGACTATAATCGGTGAGCATGAGCACGCGTGAGCACGAGGGGCCCAGAATTCTGTGAGCATGAGCACGCGTGAGCATGCTCATCGAGCTCACTCACGTGCTCGTGAGCTCGTCAGATTTCAAACCCTGGGTGAGTCTGGGGGGAGCTAGAGGCTCTTGAAGTTGGGGAACTCGACAGGAAATGAGCACTTTTTCCCAAAAAGTACATGATTTGTGTCACACATGCCGCATGTGTAGGGAAACTCGATGAAAATTGAGCTTCTTTTCTGGGCTTAGTGGGGGGACATATAATACAGTTTTAGAAAGCCCAGAAGCTGGGGATCATTTTGACTATCATTTTTCATCGAGTTTCCCTACGCATGTGACATGCGTTACAAAAACTATTTATAGATGTTTATTCTTTTAAAAATCTTAAAGATGTCATTTCGGGTCATTTGAGGTCAGATCGGTTCCCTTATCGGAATTTTCTAAATTTCTCATATTTCTTTACCAAGAGTGACCTCAGATGACCCCAAATGACATCTTTAAGATTTTTAAATGAATAAACATCTATAAATGGTCTTTGTAATGCATTTGTGACACAAGTCATGTACTTTTTTGGATAGTGCTCATTTCCTGTCGAGTTCCCCAACTTCAAGAGCCCCTAGTACCAAATCCTTACACCGACCACTTTCAGAATTTGGTCGGTGTAAGGATTTTGGTCGGTGTAAGGAATTGGTCGGTGTAAGGATATGGTCGGTGTAAGGACATACCACCAGACATTCAACGAATTCGAAAAAGAAATGTTCGACTCTTCAAACATCGTCCCAATCGAAGGAAAAGAAGAAGAACTCGCCCAATTGATCGAAAACGACATTACGAGTAATTTGACTAACAAGCTGGAAAGATTCGACACTCGGTAATTAAATTATAAAATCCGAACACCGCAGATAAGTCCAGAAGTAGCTCCGTTCTAGCTCGATTCTCGCGCTCCCAGGGGCGATAACGCTTTTTACTATGAAAGTCGACCGCCTAATGATAAGGGTACTTCTTCGTTGAGGTGAGAGAGCTCACTTTCCTTATCACGGACGATGGGCCATCGTCGATGGCTTTCTCCATTAATATTATTATCATATTTTAACATAATCTTCACTTTTAACCCTTACGCACGGCGAATTCCAGCAAGGGGCTTTTTTCGTCAGTAGCTTTTCTGTCATAAAAATACTTGAAGAATATACGCTTCAAAAAATGGATAGTGTTGTAGCCAATCAGAAGCTTATTTTCTATTTTCTACAGCGGTATCTCTTGATAATGAATACTTTCATCCAGCTTATTATGTGTCGAGCGTTTTCCTTTTGAAATTCCAAAAGGATAACTCGGATTTTTGTTATCTCGAGTACATTTAGTAGGTAAATTTACTGAAAATTTTCATCTAGCTCTCCGATTGGCTGATTTTTAAAAAATTCTTATTGAAAATCGACCAATCAGGGTTAGGATGAAAATTTTCGTTATAAAAGCAACCTTCTGTAGAAAACTCAAAAAGGCACAGTGAAATGATTTTCTAGAGCAACAATCGCCTTCTTCGAAAACTTTAGCTCAACATCTAGTCACTTGTAATCCACCCTTAGAGACACTCTGTCAACAAGAGTGCTTCTCGAGAAAGCTACTAATTCCTTTTTGTATCGAAAAAAAAAATACAAGAAAAAGAAACAATCAATTACATCAAAAATGAAAAGCGAAAAAAACGTGCTTGATTCTGCTTCCTTCGAATTAAGTTTCAGCTCCAAAGTGTTTGTTTTGGAGCTTGCTTACACTTTTCTTTTCCCCGGAATCAAAATATAAAACACTCGAATTGTAATTGCTTCCAATTAACAGATAAATGAAAAAGAAACATGAACTGAAATGTTCGATTGTATTTTGAACATAAGTGCTTTCCGCTTAAGTTTAATTATAATCAATTTCTTGGGAAAATAAAGCTTTCAGATTTAGGCTCGGCAACCTGTGTGGAAACCTAAGTCAGGCTCACACAGGTTGCCGCGCTCAGCTTGGTCAAATTAGAAGAAGATTTTTGATTGGCGAAAGCTTTTTTTCTTTTGAAAAATGTCTCCACAAAGTGGTTTTTTTTTCACACAAAAAATTCTTTTTGGAAATATTTTTCAAAAAACGAAAAGCTTTCGCCAATCAAAAGTCGAGATTTTACCATCATCAAAAATATTTTTCAGTTGGGAGCCGAACTACCGAGGAATGCCAATGGAGCCCCAAGGAATCGACGAAAACATCGAATTTTTCATCCCCGTCCTGAAAGAACTCGAACAAGTGCTCTGGAAATACGGAATCAAAATGAGCATCACGCGCGACGAGATTCTGTACAACAAAGTAGGAAAGCAAGAAAAGAACTTTTCAATTTTGGTTTTAGGTGACGCTTTATTTGCTGGCTCCACCAATTTCGAGCAAAAGCAGAAAAGTGGCGATAAGAACGTTTCGGATCAGCAAACGATCTCCGCATCTTGATTTGCTCCGAGAAATCAAAAAGATTGGAATCCCGATTTCCCAAAAGTGGCTCCCCAAAATGAACGAACTTGAACATATCGACATGGAAATGGCCAATAATTATTATACTAAGGAACGGAGGATTCAGATTGTGGATTAAATTTAGACAAAAATAGTCAGGGACTCTTATTATCTTACAAAAGCGTCCGAAAACGGGAATCATGACCCTGACTCAGGTTTCTACATAGTACAAGTATTGGAGCATAGCTCTGGTCTGGAAGCCCTGTGTAAAAAACCCTGAGTCAGGCTCTGAAAGGTCTCTAATTGACCTTAGGCGGCTTCTTATTAGAGACCTTTAAGACCCTGACTCAGGTTTTAAACAGTGGTTTCGGAGGCCCCGCTCTAAGCTCTGCTACTATAGAAACCTTAGTCAGGGTCATCATTCCTGTTTTCGGACGCTTCTGTTAAAAAATAAGAGTCCGAAAAAATCCCTGACCCTGTGTCTGACCCATATTATTATTTACTAAGACCCTGATTTGATAGCACAGGGCCTGAGTGATTGAAAGTGGTCCTGAGTATTCTTTGATTTTGTTCCTGAAACTCGCTCTTCTGGGAAAATAAAAACGTTGTGGAACATCCGCCCAGTTATAATTTAAGACACATGTCGCTCTGATCATACAAATCAGAGCTGATCTAAATATTTACGCCAAGTTTTTCGGCCACTACTTTTTCGACCACAAACGCAAACATAACGATGTGTAAAACTTGTTTACTCTGACTCACGGAACTGGTTCTGCGTCTTGCTCTACATTTTTGAGTTTAGAACTCGAAGTTCGGATTCTTTCGAAAGATAAGACCGTCAACCCCGTTTTCGGACGAGCACTCTAGGGCTAGTCTGCCAGTCAAGCTCTTTGGTCTAAGACCTTGACTTCCAGATTCGCCCTTGAATTGATTCCTCGGAAAAAAGGTTGAGGGCCTCATCTTGACGGTCTCTTATTTTTTATCTTGATAACGAAAATTCGCCTCGGTTCTAAAACAGGACAACGACTTGGAATGAAATAATGATTCATGAATCAGCATTACTCTTTTTTCGGTTGAGTTTAACATAGTGACACCCTTATTTTATTACAACAAAACGAGGGTGCTGGGCCCGGCGATCTGAGTCAGTGTCTGAAAGAGCTAAAATAAATAGCCGCGTAGGTTCGCGGCTTCGATTCTTAAAAAGCCGCTAAGCGGCTTTTCATTTTAGCTCTTTCAGGCTCTCACTCAGGTTTTCTACCTTGATTGCCGAGCCCAGTAAGTGTGTCTCAAAATAAGTTTTGAGGAAAATAAAATATGGAGTTTTTCAATTTAGCATACTGTTGCATATTTTTGTACTGTTAGATTATTCCTATGAATCCTCGAAAAGCGTCTAATCGATATCGGGGAAGAAAGAATGGAAATTCTGAAAGTGCTCCAGACGCGGGACAAAAAGTACCGAACAAAAGTGTCCGACTTCCGCGGTTTCTCGCAGAATCAGCGCAAAATCCAAGACGAGCTAGAATGGCTCGCCCTTACGACAACCGACCATCGAGACGATACCGTTTTACTTATCGAGTAAGTGTCTTATCAGCTTCCAAGCTCGGGCGGGGCTCAATTTTGGGTAATTTCGCCTCTTGAGTTGAGGGTCAATTCTGAATTCAGCATTTCTATTTTTGGCTAGGGCACAGATCGCCGACCGGATTTAATTGACGATCTTTTATGTTAAGTTAGCATTGTGACCCCCTTATTTTATCTTCTCAAAATTACAATCCCAATTCATTCCCTAGGTAAGCCAGAAAGCTGATTATTTAAGGGAGTAGACATCAATATCCAGATTTTCGCTTTGAGTTTTTTCCTTTTTTATAACAAAGTGACACCCTTATCTTTTGTTCAAAAAGTAATAAAGAACCTAATTATGGGCTCTATATTTTTTCGATATCGATTCGAAGAAATCTAATCGAAAATCTGCTCATTGATGTCTACCCCTTAAATAATCCGGCCTATTTGACCTAAGGAATGCATTGAGATCAAATTCAAATTTCGGAAAAAAAAAGAAATTTTTATCAACCCCCGTTTAATTTCGAACCAAAATCTCCTCTCCCGTCTTTCTAATCGATGGTACTATGCATATCACCTTTCCAAGACTAAAATTACAATAGTCTTCTCTCATATCGCGGTTTCCAAAACACAGTTGTCGACAGTTCTACTATCTCCGCGCTCTTGTGACGTGCAGAATAGAACACGGTCAACGAAATAAGAAACTGTTTCTTTTTTTTTCCAAAAAGGAATAATACAGCAGTCGAACTGAATGATAAGCATTAATTGTTTACGAGACGGAGGAAAATTTTGTGGTCGAGGAAAAGAAAAAACTATCTAGATTTTTTTGTTTTTGCGAGTTTTAAATAAAACGTGCTCAGACAGATTTTTGATAAACAGAAATAGTCTTCTGAGCACGTTTTACATCTTTGTCCATCCTTATATAAGGCAAAGCATTGCAAGTTGCAGCCTGTGTAGAAAACCTGAGTCAGGTTCTGAAGCCGCAAAGCTTCTCAAAAAGCTGCTTTTTGAACCCTCACTCAGGTTTTCTACGCAGTTTGCTCAGCCAAGATATCAGGGTGTGAAGGGGTTCTATTTGAGACACAAAGTTTTGAAAGTCTCATTTTTGCTTTTCAAAACTTTATTTCCGAAAATGTAGAAAACAGATCGATCAGTTTATTTGTTTTCTACATTTTCTTATAAAAATCCGACGATTTCGGTATCGATCAGTTTCTTTTTGGACATGAATGGTACCGAAAACGGGTGGTCTTAGTAATTGACAAAATAATTTCGAGAAATTTTGCGTGGGCGGCTAATCGGGTGCTGATTGGCCGGTTTGCCGAATCCAGGCTTTTGAGTGGTTGAAAATTTCACACAAAATTTGTCAAATTTTTGTCGCTACCAGACACATCTCCCCGAACTTCTTTTTACGGATGACATGTTCATGCTACAATAAGTATCTACACGTAGAACTGCGTCTTATTCACTTATGTAACACGTATTTTCAGCGCGGAAAGTACGATGTCGCGGGAGCAGGCAATGTCTGTCAAAAAGTTTGACAATGGCCTCCGCGAGCTTTGCGTTCACACCGTCGACATGCAGATGTATTATCCGATTAGGGAAGATTTTACGAAGCATTTTTCGAATACCTTCGTCCTCACTCAAAAACAGAAGTCTTTGGTCTCGTTTCAGGAGAATAGAATCTCACCTGCAATTACTCTCAAGTTCCGGGCTTCCCTTCTTTTTAAATTTTTATATTTTTTATAGTATTTTATTAAAAATATTTCAAACAAGAGATATATAACTCAGAAACCCTTAATTTTCAAAAATATTTTCCTCTTAGCTCGGAAACCTGTGTAAAAAACCTGAGTCAGGGTCCTAAAAGAGCATTTTTTAAGCTTTTCAGGATCCTGAATCAGGTTTTCTGCACAGGCTGCCGAGCCTAGATGAAAATAATTTTGGAAATTAAGGGTATAGACAAGGTAGATTCTCCCTACTTCAAAAAATGCATTTCCAATGGAATGGCCGACCTTTACTTAATTTTCTTCTGTGTAAATTAAGTTAAGGCTGGCCATTTCTACGGAAGTGCATTTTTTTAAGAAGGTAGAATCTACCTAGTCAATACCCTTAATTTTCCCTATTTTACTTTGGGCTTGGCAGCCTGTGTACAAAACCTGAGTCAGGGTCCTGAATTTATAAAAAAAGCCGAATTCAGTTATTAAAACTGGTTTTCAGCTTCCTAAATCAGAATCCTGACTCAGGTTTTCTACACAGGTTCCCAAGCCCAGAGTAGAAATAAGGGAAAATTAAGGGTATCGACTAGGTAGATTCTACCTTCTTGAAAAAATGCACTTCCGTAGAAATGGCCGACCTTAACTTAATTTTCTTCTGTGTTTGAAATGAACTGCCTTTATCCGTTCAAAAAGTACAGGTGGGGAAGCCTCTCTAAAGCAACATTTTGACGCGAGTGGAAATATGGTTGGCCCGAGCCAATGTTATTTCAGTGTGATAGAGCCGCGCATTGCCCTCGATAACAACGAAGTGGTGCAGGTGCGTTTATGTAAAATTTATTAACGCGTTTTTTCCATTGACTTTAATAATGGCCATTTATTTTAACTCCAAACGTAGATTCAATTTATTTTAAGAAAAATGCTCCCGAGAACCCTAATTAAGTTTTATTCCGTTGGAATAGTAAAATAATTTAATTCCAGAAATAATTCTCAAAAATGTGCATTAAAACCCGACTTTTTTAGTAGAAACATCATTAATCGGGTTGTTATTTCAAGGTTATCATAGTGACACCCTTATCTCATTTCACCAAATCAAAGTTCAAACACTAATCTAGTACCTCTGGAAGCTGAAATTCCAAATTCTGGTTATAATTTTTGACAAAATTTTCAATCAAAATTGCCCTTTTTTGCTAAAACTTTGTCAAAATGGCGAATTTTGAGTGAAAATTTTGTGAAATTTTTTTCCAAAATTAAAATTTGTGATTTTCGAGGAACTAGATAAAGACGATTTTCAATAAGGATTTCTGAGTGAAATTCTTACCCCCCTTTTTTATTAGCTCATTTGAAAGAGCGTAAAAAGTTATGCCAGATTCCACCGAAAAAGGGTGAAATTTTTGAACTTATGACGTCATAGCACGTGATTGAAGTTCCAAAAGTACCTTTTCTTCCGGACATCGGCATTTCCGACTACTCTAAGGTAAGCAGGCATGCGATACATGAAAATGATCGTCTTCTCGAGCTTTAAGGTTGGAACTTTCTTTTGGTGAAATAAAATAAGGGTGTCACTATGTTAACTTTCATATAAAAATCGCATATTTTGATCCGTACCCCCATATTTTTAACAGTATTTTTTTTGAAAAAGGTACTTGAATTTCGCGGATCAGCATTTTAGAAGTCAAAAAAATGTGAATCTCATTGAGCTTTTTTCGCGAAATTGAATCAACGCGCAAAATTGAATCACTAAAACACAAACGTTTAGATCTTGCGCGAGCGAAATCCCTTCGTCAATTTCGTCACGGCCGCGAAAATGCCCATCAACCCTCAGCCAAAAGGCGAGATTAACGAATTCCAGCGACTCCGGTTAGAATCAGTCGGCGTCGATTATACCGAAGTCGAGGAGAATTACAAAATGCTGGCCGAGCTTCTCATTGATCTCAAACTGCCAGACATGGAGCGGGTCAGTTTTTTGAACAAAAATGGACTCAGCATTGATCACGTGAAACACTCGATGAACCAGTTCAAGCAGCTTCAACTTGGCAAGAATATTCCAATGGAAAGAAATGATATTCGTAAGTTCAAAATGAGATCTCTTTCTAGAGCTTGCTTTCAATAGCAGGGTTTCTGATTGGTAGAGCCGAAATTTGCGGCTCGACCAATAAGAATGCTTGATGGGAAAAGTCGTTATTCAAAAAATCTTCTGTAGATATGACGAATATGAGTCATTTTCCGATTTTCCCCATCAAGCATTCTCATTGGTCGAGCCGCGAATTTCGTTTTAGCCAATCAGAAACCCTGTTTTTGAAGGAAATCTCTCAAAAAGTCATTATATTTTTGCCGAGGCGAAAAATACCATCATTCTCAGAGCTGACTGACCGAGTCAATTTGTTATGTAATAGCTCTGCTGCGGAGGACCTCCGCCTGCTGGAAGACCTGATCCTGGGAGAGCTCAAAAGTCTAGAAAAGACTTTTTCGACTCCGGAAAAGAAATACCGAAATCTGTTTTGAAGAAATACTTTCATGTATAATAATTTTGAAATTTAAATGATATTACCACGTGGCTCTCGGAGGACCTTTCTGGAGGACACAGTAAGCTGGAAGAAATATCTGGTGGAAGAGACCAAACATTGATGTTATTTTATTTGACCTTTTTTGGTCATGTGATTTTGGAGGACCCCTTCTTTTGGAGGACTTATTCTTCTGGAAGACCAATACTCTTACTGGAAGAATTTTTAAAAATATTTTTGAAAATTTTGTCGCAATTTTTTAAATAAAAAGTCTATTTTCGCCTTCTTATCTATCCCCACTTGACACCTTCGACGTCATATGATATGACTCATATCGTTATGATTATTCAATTTATTTAATTCATTTTAAATGTTCTTTTCATTTTGTGAAAAGTCTTCCAGGAAATCAGGTCTTCCACCCGGTAAATCCTCCAGCATTAGGGTCCTCCGAGGTCCTCCGAGATCACGTGGATAAAATGTTCATTGTATTATATAATCTTCTTAAAGAATTATAAAGAATAAATTATTTATTGGTCTTCCAGCAAAGTGGATCTTCCATTGGAGGAGTCCTCCGGAACAGAAGGGTCCTCCAAGGTCACGTGGTCAAAAAATGACCGAAAAATTCTAGATGTTAGACTTTATGCCAATGATTATTCGTCTTCCAGCAAAGAGGTCTTCCAGCAAAAAGGTCTTCCAGTAGAAAAAGTCCTCCAGGGGTCCTCCAAGATGTCACGTGGTCGAAAAAGCCTAATTGATAAGAGTTATCATAGGTTCAACCTTCGGTCTAAGTATTGTGGTCGGAGGACCTTTCTGTGAGAACCCAGTCAAACTCGCTCCGCCCACGCAATTCGTTTGGACAAAATTTGCATTGTAAAATGTCCAAACGATTTGACAGCCTAGGGGGTCGGTCAGTCAGGAATGATAATCGCGGTAATGATCTCTTTTCATCGGAAACAGTCGTTATTTTGAGTATTTCTCAAGAATTAACCGTATGTTTCTAGTTGGAATCAACGAATCAATGTCCCTGCCGCTTCGTCTATCAGACATGCTCATGTACCGATTCATCCTGGAAAACTGCGACGAAAGCGAATTCGACTTTCTCGAACGAATGAAAGTCTTCTCTCCCGTCAAAAAGCGCGTCAGAATCGATGGCGAACTCGAATTAACCCAACTTTTCAACGCGAGCTGGACAGCTCCGATGAGAAAACCGCTAGATTTCTATTTGCACATGGTTCTCCGGCGAATCATTCACCGCCAAAGCCGGCAGAAGATGAAGGACCGGATCAGAAGAGAGAAGGGAACCGAGAAGAACGAAATCGACCCCCATTTGCTCAAAATCTTGAGAAAGCATTTAATGTCTGCCCAGGTTTCAACGAATACATGAGTCCTTTCTCCTTTCTGACGAGTCAATCTTTGAGTGTCGTTTTGTTTACGCACCGTTTGATTCTTGTTTTTCAAACACTTGCATATCGCACTTTTCACTTTTTCAAAAACATTGAAATTAGCAGTTTATCACTCAATACTTTGTTCGAGCCATAACTGTACAAATGACAGTCTTAATAACAGCTTGATCTGTTTTCACAAAATATTTTTGTCGTCTTATTTTTGTCATGTTTAAATGCAGTCAAAATATTACTGGCTTACTGGAAGATTACTGTGCAAACTCAACAGCAGTGAAAGTTGAATAGGAATTAAAATTTTCTAAAAACATTAAGGGGGTAATCAACGTATAAGAGCTTTTTTGCACTGAAGTTTTCTTTGATTTTACCTTGTGACAACCTTATTCTAATATCCAACAGTAAAATATCAACCTTAAACTCCTTCCCTAAACATCTTGAATCTGAGATTTATCGTCCTCTACCCCCTTAATTTAACAAAGAAAAAACAGTAACAGTTCCAATTTGCCCCTCAAACCAGCAATAGAAGCAATTTTCCATTGATAAGCTAAAATTCGTTACGGCTATCTTTGTGTTTATCCTCCAAAGTTCAAAGAGTTCTAAATAATTCCGCTGCTTCCGGGCTGCTCTATCCAGTAATCTCCCTGTAGCGTCGTACTACTATTTTGACTTTTGCTTTTCTCTTATTGTTCAAAACCAAAATTGTTGACGTTCCAACCAGAATCAGATAGAAACCAGAACCGCAGAAGATAAGGCCGAAGACAATTATCGAAAACTCAAAAAAAAAACGGATTGATAGGTTGTTTGCATTTTTAGCCAGCTCAGTTCATTTTGGCAGAAAAAATAAAAATATAAAAAAATGAGCAGTTTTGGCATTCTTGGGCTGATTGCGTTGTTAAATGGCCTGCAAATTATTTGCCAAACACGAGGTAACTTGCATTTCGCGCATTGTTCACCGCGTGGCGAATTTATATAGATTCGTAAATTGTCATGCGATTCGCTGAGCGGGCTTATTTTTACAGTTACGCGTGATAACGATCGCTTTATGCTCGAAATGGACCAATAAGAATAATATTTTTTATTGAATCTTCATTTCAGCCAATAAAAAGAGATTTTGCGAGCTTTGACGAATCAAAATTCGCAAAAATCCAATAACTCATTTTTATTGGCCACTCGCCTAGCCAATCAGAAATCAATCTCCCGCCGAAATTTCTTTCTAGCCAATCAGAAGTGATTTTCTGGCTTTGACCAATCAAAGCTTTTAGAATTAAAACTCGAAATTGTTGATTGGTCGAGTTCAAAAATTGCAGTTTCTTATTGGCTAGCAAAAGAAATCTTCGAAAGTGGCAGTTTTTCTCGTCGATTTTTGAACTTTTTCATTACGAATTTATTTATTGTTTTAGGGTATAGGAGTATATTGCCAAAACGTCCAAAACGACGTGTCATTTTTGCAAAAAGGTTCAATGTGGCGTAACATACATCTGCGACCAGCAATGGCTGGTTTTGAAGAACCGCGAGGAGTAGTTCCTTCGTTGGGAGTGATCACTCATCGACCGCAGATCATTTCAACTCAAATTTGTAATTCCTGTTTTTTGGCTAAATAGCTTTTTGGAGCAAATACAAGTTTTTTTTTCTACTTTCAAGGACGTGGAATTCTTGTTAATTTACTAGTAGAATTTGGATTATAGTCGTAGCTAAATTTTTCGAATCGAAAAGACTTAAGTTGATTTGACCAATTTAGCAATTAAGGGTTAAGGATATAGCCTTGAATATTGAACTTTCGTAGCGCCGAAACCTTGCTACGAATTCATTTGTTTTTCAAAGTATCCCTACCTAAAATCCATCGTAGATTTCGAAAATGTCCTTACTTTTAGTACTTTCTAGGGTGTTAGTACCTAAAAATCGACTTTTAAATCAAATAGACCGTCGTTTTCCGAAAATTTCCATTAAAAAGGTAAATCTGGATTGATGATATGAAAGATTGAAGCCTTCTCTCCAATCTAGCGGAGGATTTTGTAAAAATATTGAAAATTACGGCTTCTAGGAACTGGTTTTGATTGTACTTCGAAATGGAGAGTTGCGCGCGCAGCCAATGAGAGCGAGGGGAAAATCTCACTCAGCCATCGCTCACCCAATTTTACACGAGAAATATTGTCGACAGCTTGGACGAAAGCGAACTGAGATTTTCCCCTCGCTCTCATTGGCTGCGCGCGCCACTCTCCATTTCGAAGTACAATCAAAAACCAGTTCCTAGAAGCCGTAATTTTCAATATTTTTACAAAATCCTCCGCTAGATTGGAGAGAAGGCTTCAATCTTTCATATCATCAATCCAGATTTACCTTTTAATGGAAATTTTCGGAGAACGACGGTCTATTTGATTTAAAAGTCGATTTTTAGGTACTAACACCCTAGAAAGTACTAAAAAGAAGGACATTTTCGAAATCTACGATGGATTTTAGGTAGGGATACTTTGAAAAACAAATGAATTCGTAGCAAGGTTTCGGCGCTACGAAAGTTCAATATTCAAGGCTATATCCTTAAGCGAATCGACTTGACTCAGAATTTCTTTTAGTCGAATGAGTTAAAGAATTAGTCAACAAAAAAATTTTTAGTCAAAAATATATTTCTAGCCGACATTTGATTTTGCGATTTTGAATATTTTGACCAAACTCGGATTTTTTGACTAAAATCTAAACAATTTTTTGACTAAAAATTTTGATTCTTATGGACTAAAATTCAAGTTAATTTATTGTATCTTTTAGACGACTAAAGACTTACAAAGATTATCTACTTGACATTTTGGAAAAGCTTTCGGCTCAAAATTAAGAGAATTTTGATTTTCAGCTAGGATCCAAGAAGCAGGGATCTCAAGGACGTGGAAGGGAGTGTAGAAAAACCAAGGCTGAGGTCGGCATCTCTTCCCGAGCAAGAAGGACCGCAAGAGCATGTGTGCCCAGGGACACACCGCCCAGACGTGGATTAAGGGGATTACACCAGAATCACGACCGAGTCTTGACATAATCAAGCACAATCCGCGCTGACCCCATGATTAAACGGACAACCCGGCAAGTTACTTGCTAATTTCGAAGTTCGAAGACCAAAATTATTGAAGCAATTTGGATTTTGGTCAAATTCAGAATCATGATTTTTTTTGTCTTTAAAGAATCTCTAGAATACCAAAATCATTAAAGAAAAAATTAATTTTCTCAGTCAACCAATCTAATTGCTGATCTTGAAAATTGGTCTCATCCAGATTGAGCAATCTTATTTCAAATAAGTTATTTGTCGAAAAAAGAGTGGTCGCCATTCTTATAAATTGGCCAATCAGATTTACGTATGGTAAATTTAGTTGAAATAAAGTCGAGTTTCGTAATAAAAAAAAAAATCCGTAAAAAAAAGCTGCACAGAAATAGACAAGACCGAAAAATGAGCTCTTCTCATATTTCTGGGTTAACTTTGTCATGTGAAAATGAACTTTTAATTCTTGCGCAACAACTGGTTTTTAGAAATTCAATCAAAAGAGGGAAACCCTCTTCTTTTGAATTTTCAAATGAGTTTTATTAAGCAAAGCAATATTAAAAAAGCAATGAAGAACGATGGGAACGGGAAAACTATACAGTGGTCAATGAAAAAATTGTATTCGTCTTTCATCGATCCTAAGAAATGCTCTACATTTCGCAAAAACCACTGTCAATTTTTCTTTTACGTAAAATTCATCCATTCGATATTTCAATCTTTTTTAAATAACATGTGTGAGCATTCGTCATATTTGTTAATCCGATAGAAATCAATCGATTCGTCTGCAGCAACAATTAAACTGACTTATAGCGAGCTTATATAGCGACTCATAGAATGTGTAGCGGTGATGAGATAGTAAAGAAAGCAATTATATTCTTCTATTTCTATCTGTAAGTAAAATTAATCAATAATCTGAACCAAGTGTTTTCTTAGAATTTGTTTTATTGCCTCGATTATTGTTCGAGAATTCATCAAAATTGTTGAGTACGACTGGAAAAAAAGAACGCTTCAGGATTTTATCGTTGACAATCCAGTACTTTCAGAAGAGTCGATTATGGCCTTTGTCGCTTCAATTATTGCGCTTTTTATGCATAAATACTGTCGAGAAGATCAAATAACAATTGACGAAACCGGAGATGCTCAAGGAACTGATTCGGATTGGATCGGAGGAGTTGTTTAAAAATATGCGATCTTATTCCAATAAAAATTCATTCGAATACAAATCAGAAGTGTTTTTATTTGAAATATTTTCGAATAACGAGATTGTCGGTAATATTAGTATTTTAAATATTATAAATTTATTCGCAAAAAATAATGCAATCCACAAAAGTCGGTTGACTTTCTTCATCTGTATCGTCATCATCCTCATTGCTGCTTTTTGTAAATTGACGGCAAATCTTATTGAAGAAATACATGGTTGATGATAATTAAACTTAAAATTAATTGTAAGCTTGCAAATTAGCCTCAAGAGCATCGACGGAAATTTGTAAATACTCATGCGGATGCGGAAATTGTTAAACTTATTTTATCCAAATCAGTTTTCGAAATAGAACCGCCTTAATAAAAAAGCCTAACCGAAATAGGCTATACAAAAAAGACCATGCTCATTCCCTAAAATTTCTTGTGTTGCTTCCCTTTTTTCGATTATTACCTGTGTGTGCGACGAAATATACAATAATACGTATAATTTCATCGTAGATAAAGATTCCAGGTCCACCATCCCAGATATATAGGTAAATCCAGAAAAATGTTAAGAAATTAGTTGTCCTTATAAGCCATTGAAGTGGAAATGTGAGGAATACACCAATTCGTTCTCTATAATGAGGCAATGATATTGCCGTCCCCAATACCACGAAAAAGCAACAAACAACAGTCAGAAAAACCGGAAAAACTGAGAATGGCATCATCGGCAACATTTTCGAATTCGCTTACTTGAAAATCAAATTGATATGTCTGCGATCTCGATGATGCCATTCCCACGTCGTACATTAAAAAATATTCTTTGAGCATCCGGAAATAATAAGGCATTCGGTCCAAAAAACAAAGCCGCTTTTGCCAACAGCTCGTTTTTATCTTTTATTCTCGAATGATAGTTTGCGTGCTTCTTTATATGAGCTTTTCTGAATTCCCTTCTTGAATTTCATTGTTCACAATAGGCGCTTCTCTTCTCGTCTCTGTATCTTGTAGGAAGATTCTCCTACGAGCATAAAGTACAGCCGGAGTCCAAAATAAGGGACACCAAGGGACTTTTTGACGAAAAATGCCGAGAATCTGCGCCTCAAAAAAATCTCATTTAAGGTACTTTTTCAGACGAGACATTTTTTTATTCAATCGACAGCAGATAAAGGAAATCAGTTGCTTGTTTTTTTAGATTTTTCGAGAAATGAAGTGATTTGTGATTGAGAATACTTTATCGCTTTAGAAAGACTTTCTTAATTCTGAATTTGACTGAAAGATAGGAAATTTTGCCCGCAAAGTTCAGCCCTGCATCTGATTCAAGTCGATAAGAGGGTTGAAAAATTAGTGTTTATGTAAAAAAGTTAAAACTGGAAGATGCGTGTCGCTTAATTCGCCTGTAATTACCCTGTAAATTCATAAGAAGCATGTTTGATAATCTCAAATCAGCATTTATGTAGCCATTACTTGTAATTACGATAAGTTTTACCAAAATCACATGTTGATTTTATCCCGTATCTTCTTTGCGAAGCAGAAAAACCGCGGTTTCAAGCATTTTTTTGAGGAAAAAAGTTCAAGTCTAAAGAAAAGAAAGAAAAAGAGGAAAGAAAACGGTGAGAGTTCTTCTAAATGGAGCCGCATTCAAAGTGCAGAGAAAAATTTTTGCGGCGTCTGGAGCGGAATCGCGCCAAGAATAAGGCCTTTAGATTTGGTCAGACTTTTATGGCAGGAATTCAAGAGCTCTTACAAAGAAAAACCTGCATTACAAAACATATTCGTCTTATTTCTTTAGATCTTCAGATCTTTCTGAACACTTTGATTGGTGATTTAAGACAGTGAAACCTTTATTTACAGTTCGAGTCAAAATTTTTAATAAGGGTGGGGAGTCCAACTGAGGACCTCATTATTGCCAATACTTCTGCGAGTTTTTCTTTGAAAATAAACATAGTGACACCCTTACTTTACTTGGTGATTTAAGGGAGTGATACCCTTATTTTAAGTTTGCGTCAAAGCTGTGCGTGACAACCTGTTTAAAAAACATGAGTCGGAGTGAAAAACTTAAAATGTAGATTTCTTTTTATAATTTTGGCTTTTTTAAACCCTGACTTAGGTTTTCTACACAGGTTTTCACCCCCAATTTTGACTCGAACTTTGAATAAAGGTATCGCTCTCTAAAATCAACAAGTAAAATAAGGGTATCTCTATGTTAATTTTCAAAGAAAAATTTGCATAAAAATTGGCTATAATGACGTCCCCGCCCTTAATAAAATTGCCTGTTATTAAGGATATAGCCTTGAATATTGAACTTTCGTAGCGCCGAATCCCTGTTACGAATTCATTCATTTTTCAAATTAACCCTACCTAAAATTCATCGTTGATTTCGAAAATGACCTTATTTGTAGTACTTTCTATGGTGTTTGTACCTAAAAATCGCCTTTAAAATAAAACAGACCGTCGTTCTCTGAAAATTTCCATTAAAAAGGTAAATCTGGATTGATGATATGAAAGATTGAAGCCTTATCTCCAATCAAGCGGTGGATTTTGAAAAAATATTGAAGATTATGGCTTCTACTAACTGGTTTATGATTGTACTTCGAAATAGAGAGTGGCGCGCGCTGCCAATCAGAGCGAGGGGAGAATCTCAGTTAGATTTCGTCCTTGGCTGTCGACAAAATTTCTCGCGTAAAATAGGATGAGCGATGGCTGAGTGAGATTTTCCCCTCGCTCTCATTGGCTGCGCGCGCCACTCTCCTTTTCGAAGTACAATCAAAAACCAGTTCCTAGAAGCCGTAATCTTCAATATTTTTACAAAATCCACCGCTAGATTGGAGATAAGGCTTCAATCTTTCATATCATCAATCCAGATTTACCTTTTTAATGGAAATTTTCAGAGAACGACGGTCTGTTTTATTTTGAAGGCGATTTTTAGGTACAAACACCATAGAAAGTACTAAAAATAAGGGTTTTTTCGAAATCTACGCTGCATTTTAGGTAGGGTTTCTTTGAAAAATGAATAAATTCGTAGCAGGGATTCGGCGCTACGAAAGTTCAATATTCAAGGCTATATCCTTAAGCAAAAATCATCGTTGCACGTTTTAAGTTTCCTAAACGATTGAAAAATAAAATGACGGGTCTGGTCGGCCACAATCCTAAACAATGGAAAACGAGCTAAATGAATAGAATTACATCACTCGATTCCGGAAATGCTTGTTTTTCTTTTGAGGTTTTCTTTCTTAATTGAACTTCAAATACAGTAATTTCAGCAAAAGAAGAAAAAGCGCTAGAATTCCGCTGCGCGAAGAATAAAAAAAAGGTGTCAGCTTTGGATTATTTTTTGTTTATCATTTTCAGGGTACGCGGAGCATTCTTTTCAAAACAAGCTAATTGATAATTGCAAATGCTTGTTATCTGTAATTCTGTATTGAGTCCATTTCTAATGCGAGAACGCCACTTGCGAGTTGCGACATCATCTTATCTTAGAGTCAAAAAGCAGGAACTGGCTTTTTGAGGGATCGCCCAAGAAAACGTCAAATAAATCATCGAAATATTTCGACGCTTTTGCATTTCTCAAGACGAGCTAGAACGCTGCAAACTTTGATTTCGGAAGCGATAACGGGTTAAATCAACAAAAAAGCGCGAAATTTACGAAAATCGCGGAGCAGAATTTGGCCGCTGATATTTGAAAAAAAGAGCGATACGGAAATCGTAAAAACCGGAAAGTATTTGCATCGGGTCATTTTTACGGGCGTTTCGGAACCACGAAGTACTCAGAGCTACAGTTAGTTCCAGGGTTCAAAATCACCTCACCTAAAGGTGCACCTTGTTCAATTCAGGTGAGGTGCAAATTGTCACCTCACCCACCTCACCTAAAATTATTCAGATTTAAGCTTTTTTAGGTGCACCTAAAAGGTGCACCTTTTTTGAAATCATCACCTCACCCACCTCACCTAAAACTTTCGAGATTTGGGCCTTTTCTAAGTGCACCTAAAGGTGCACCTTTTTTGTAATCATCACCTCACCTCACCTCACCTAGGAATGTTTTGATTTTAGGTGCACCTTTTTCTCGGTGAGTGTTTTGCTGACAGTTTAAAATCCAAACTTGGCTGTTGATTTCGAATCCTTTGGTAATACCCGGCATTTTTTACTGGGCAACCCGCAGATATTTCAACGGGTTACTCGCGCGGAGAGCCTTTTCACGGGCTACCCGCGCTACTAGTTTTATCTTTTCCGCGGAGTAGCTCGCGATTACCCGCAACCCTTTTGCGAGTTGGTCAGACGAGACCCGGTTTGTACCGAACCGGGTGGCGCAGGGCGGCGCAAGGCGGCGCTATTCAGTACCCCCCAAAATCCGTGCCCGCACTTGATCAGTTATCACCTAAATTTCACCCACCTCACCTAAAAAACTTCAAAAATCCGTCTTTTAAGGTGCACCCTTTTTCAGACTATCACCTCACCCACCTCACCTAAAATTTTTCAAAAATTGGCTTTTTTAGGTGCACCTAAAAGGTGCACCTTTTTCAAATCTATCACCTCACCCACCTCACCTAAAATTTTTGAGATTTGGGACTTTTTTAGGTGCACCTAAAGGTGCACCTTTTATGTAATCATCACCTCACCTCACCTCACCTAAAAACTAGGTGATTTTGAACCCTGGTTAGTTCTAGAGAACTTCGAATTTGCCATGATCGGACAAGTTTTGAACGGGAAGTATAAAGTCCTTCGCGAGCTGAAAGAAGCTAGGGAAGGAAAGGTTTACTATGTCGTCCAGGACCAAGAAAATGGTAAGAAAAATCGATGTTTCGGTAGTTTTTTGCATAAAAAGAGCAAATTTTCTTCTTTATAAGTTTTAAATGAGAAAACTTGTTATAAATCAAAACCAACTGAAGAGGGCCTTTCAAAGAGGTCAAGAGTACATAAGGCTCTTTGCCTAGGACCGGTCTGATTTTATTCTTTAGATAATGAATTGAAAATGCTGAAGGGAATCGGCCTTCTCACTCCAAAAGAAGAGCAAGATGCGAATTCGGAGATAAACTTGCTTCAGACACTAGGAACGTTTTTGCTTCAGAAAAATCAAATATAATTTGTATGAATAGTAAAAGAACGATAAAGATCATGAATACGTTGTGAAATTGTTTGACAACTTCAAGTTTACCGCTCCAAATGGACTTCAACACCATGCTTTGATTCTTGAATACATGCCTGGTGGAGATTTGGCCCAGTTTTTCGAGAAAATGCTCAACAATGGTAAGTTTTTCATAAGTTTTCAATTTTACAAATAATTTTCTTTAGAAGGGGGTGAGCAGGAGCTGCCTTGGGCTCAAAACGATGCCTTACGGATCTCAGCCCAGCTGGTTCTTGCTTTGAGTAAGCTCCTTATCTGAATCGTTTAGTTTATCATTTAATAGACTACATTCATGGTAAAAACATCATGCACCGAGATATCAAACCGGAGAATATTCTCATGTCCGCAGATGGACAACAGGTAAACAAAATTTGAAATAAAACTTTTCTGAAGATCATTCAGGTGAAAATTGCTGATTTCAACATTTCCCGCACTGCAACAGAAACGTTCTATACAGGCGTCGCTGGATCAATGGACTACTTGGCCCCTGAATTGGTCAAAACCCAGGGAAATTCACCAACCTCATTTTGCCAGGATATTTGGGCAGTTGGAGTCATTTTTCAAATGCTGTGCACCTTCAGGATTGATTTGACAATACTGCTAAAAAACAGATAACATTATTGATAAATATTAAAAGACATCCTTTTACTGCTGGAAACCCGTTTGAGACAATGACCAATATTGTAAACAACGCTAGAAGACCCGCTCAAGTTATTTTCCCGGCGATGGAATCCCTGATCCAGCGATGCTTGGTTGTTGAAATCGGCGAAAGAGCTGCAAGTGCTGCTGCATTGATGAACCACCCTCCTTTGACAAGTCTTATCGAACAATTGCAGAATAGAGTGACGCCGGCAAATCTGACTTTTGGGCTGAAGAAACTTGAAACAACGATGAAAATTAATGAGTGGCTTAATCGGGAAATTATTGAGTTGAGGCTGGAAAATCGAAAAAATTCTACTGAGCGCGATCTGGCGAGAAAAGAGAATAAACAGCTACGAAGAGAAATTGCAGATTTGAAACGAGAAGTAGAAAAGCTCAACAATAATGTTCATGAAGTCAAAGGAATAAACCAGAAGCTCAATGACGATCTCAAAAATAAGAAAGAGAGAAAAGAACTCGAGCAAAAGATGGAAGCTGATCGAAAAGAAATTATTCGCTCTTTTGGAAAAAAATCTCTCTTTTCGAAGACGGATATTCCTGATATGAATGGACTTGGGCATTTTTACGGGGACGACTCTTACAAAGTCCGAAATGCACATGACGAGACTGCAGTGCGAAGAGTGATGAGAGCAATGGCGGCTGGTTTGAAGGAGTTCAATTTGAAGGACTTGGATAAAATCGCATTTTTTAGTTTTTTTTTATTTTTGTTTCGACGCAATTTTCATCCAAAGTAAAGCTTGGAGAATTTCGAAATATAGAAGTGTCGGAAGCTGGATGGAAAATCCGACATCAATCGTGGCGCAGAGACTACGGCGGCGACAGAGAATTCTGGAAACTGTGGATTCTTTTCAACGGTATTGATTGTTGAATTTGAGATTTTTATTTTTTAGGAAAACGCGTCGACTTTCAAGCCGACGCGGACGATATTGGCGGTGTAACTGGGAAGATCTACATCTCGGCGAAGAAGTTGACGCCGGATCAAGACGGAATGGTAAAACTCAAGGGAACTGGAGGATATGTCCGGTGGAATATAGGCTATATTATATAGCGATTCGAAAATAATATTGTATACAATGGTGTGTGGAGTTGCTGCACCCCTGACCCGCACTTTTTCTATTTTTTTCTTCTAGAAGTAGCAAAAGTGAGTGCTGCGTTTCTGCACCTTTTACCCGCAATCTAGGGGTGCAGCAACTCCACACACCACTGTATATTATGATTGAAAAATAAATCTGAATAAAAGCGAAAAAAATTGTTGTCATATACTCTCTTCCCAAAAAAATTGATACCTTAAAATTTTTATTCTTGCTTATATATAAAAAATCTCTCGAATAATGGTAATTACGCTTGAAACTCTTTGGCCGAGTATTTCAGTCTCAAAATGGAACTCTTGTGGCTCTCGGATGAGCCGGATGAACCGCCAACCGCAGGAGCTTACTATTCGCCAAAGTGCCGCTTTTTTGTTCAGAATCCGAGTTTATGAAGTAACCTCTCGCCACAGATTATACCCGCTCAAAACCCACCCTCTTTCCCGTTTTTATCCTGCCAATTTTTGACAAAGAAAACAGTTTGAAACCTGACCTCAGAAGCCTGTGTAAAAACCTGAGTCAGGATTTGAAAGGACAAAGGAAAAGCCGCAAAGCGGCTTTTCTCATTCGAAACCGCTCTGTATAAGAGCCATTTTGTTGTAATAATTTTGGCAAAGCCGCTTCGCGGCCTCGATTAAAAAAGCCGCTGCGCGGCTTTTCATTTTAGTTCTTTCAGAACCTGACTCAGGATCTCCACACAGGTTTTCGAGCCAAATTTGAAACAGTCTTTCCAAAACCGTTTTTTTAGAAACAAACAAGTTCGATTTTCGAGCCGATTCTAGTTTCCAGAGGTGTGCTGATCCAGTTGACCCAGGCCTTCTAAATTCGTCTCAGTTGCTCGCTTCGCAGTGTTAACGCGCCCGTGTCCCGTAATTACGTCTCCTCCAAATCTACGCGAAATTGGTAGCTCCCTTAAGCATCCCTTGACTCAGCCCTCTTTCCCAGCATTTTTTTCAAGCTTCAATTTACAAATTCTTCAAAAAAATGCAAAAAAAAAAGTTCAAAAAAAATTCCGAAAATTTCAAAAATTTTCATTTTTTGACAAAAAAAGTCGTAAAAATCACGTTCTAGCGAGTTATGAAGAAAAAACAGAAAAGATTATTTTTGCTCAGATTACTGCGATAAAGCTGACGTATCTTATCGCCTTCTGTAAAACTTGACTTATCTACCCTTTTCATTATGGCCTTGTGAGATTGTTACGCCTCTTAGAAGTATTTTCCAAAAGCTGGAAATTCTGCGTCTTCTTCATTTTTTTAGCAAAATTAATAGTTTTTCGATACACTTAATTTTTACCAAGAATTTCGTAAAAAAGACAAAAGTGTGATAATACCCTTAATCTCTTGGCTCAATAACCTGTGTAGAAAACCTGAGTCAGGGTTTGAGGAGCTCGAATTAAAAGCGGCTTCGTTTTTTTCATTTTCGCTCTTCTTATCCTGACTCAGGTTTTCTACACAGGTTACCGAGCCAAAGAATTAAGGGTATCATCACACTTATTTCAAATTCGAATGTATACGGAAATTTCGGGAAAGCCGCTTTGCGGCTTTATTTTTCATTAAAGCCGCTTCGCGGTTATTCATAAAAACTCTGGACTCTGACTCAGGTTTTCTACACAGGTTCCTGAGCCTCGATTTGGAATCATTTTAAGGGTGTCGGAAGGAAAAATGACTAAAATAGCTTTTTTTCTGTCCAATTTTTTTTTGCCCCATTTTTTCTTTACGGTTATTGTAAGCTTATGATTATTGTCGTGATTTGTCTCACATTTTTAGAAAGCCGCCGCTTCGAAAAAAAAGCGGAACAGGTCCGTCCATAATCGCCCAAGCTGCAACAAACAGGCGCTTTTTACAACTACAAATTGACCCAAACGGTACCAAGGTGTGACGTGTCCGCTCGAAACTCAATTTGCTATTGAACACGATTCCACAATTCCCCGGCCACGTTTTGGCACACAACAACCGGGAAAATAATTATGACGGGGCGAGACTGTGTGACGGTCAACCTCTGACACTTCCATCAGTTTTGATATTTATCCAACCGACTGCTGCTTTATTGACTCTCCACAACCAGCCCAGAAAAAGTTCATCACTTTTTTTTCATTTTGGAAATTATCGATTTTTAAATTGAAAAAAACCTGTCTTGGCCAAAAACCTGTGTAAAAAACCTGAGTCAGGTATTTGAAAAAATATTGATAAAAGCCGCTTAGGAGCCTGACTCAGGTCTGGGCTCGGAAACCTGTGTAGGAAACCTGAGTCAGGACTCTGAAAAAGCTTTGCTAAAAGCCGCGCAGCGGCTCTTTAAAAAATAAAGCCGCGAAAGCTTCTTTTCTGAAAAAGACGCTACGCTTTTGCAAAGCTTTTTCAAAGTCCTGACTCAGGTTTCCTACAAAGGTTGCCGAGCCAAGACTTGAGTCAGGCTCCTTAAGCGGCTTATATCAATGTTTTTTCAGATACCTGACTCAGGTTTTCTACACATGGTTTTGAACCAAGACAGACCCAGACCTGAGTCAGGCTCTTAAATGAGTTTTACAAAATTATAGTTTGAAAAAGTTTCAATTTTGAATTTTTTTCGTGAACACTCAAAAGTGAAAGCTCGAAAGTAAAACGTGTCGAGCTATCCTCTTTCCGGCCTTCTTGGCGCATCAAAGCAAATCCCCCGGCTCAGCAGCTTCATCCTTCTTTGACTACTTGAGCTGGCCCGTACTCGAGTCAGCCCGGGTGCAAGCAAAATAAGTAGTCATCGCCTTTTCGGCTCCGATTTCAGCCCTTTTTCTAGGCTCGACACTCTTATCTCCTCGGCTCCACTTTCAGAACACTATTTGCGGTCAAAAATTTCTGTAAACATCGAAAAACGCCCCTTCTATCAAACCGCGAGGAACAAATGATCTTTGCCTCCCAAATTACCGTCCAAAATCACGTGATTTTCAGAAAAAATCATTTTCGAAGAAAAAAGTAACCGAATTCTCGCTTTTGATGTTTCGTAAAAAATGATGCGATTTATTAAATCGTTACGGTCAAAAGTGGCATTTGATAATCACGAGTTGAGCCTCACACTTGCCCTATTTATCCCTAGCGAGAATTCTCATCATCGTAACTTCGCATTTTTCTCGTAACTATTCTGTGATGGAAATAATTGATTTCTGGGAATTTGATTTGTTCTTTCTTTGACTTTTTCGTGCAAATAGACGATTATTCGTCTTGAAATTGAATAACCAATAAGAAACAAGTATTTTGTCTTTGGACCAATCAGCGTTAGAGAACCAGCAAAAGGATTTCCTAGGCGTGCGCTCGGCAACCTGTGTAGGGTTAGGGTTTTGGCTCTCGAAAACCTGACTGACGATTTTCAATAAGGATTTCTGAGTGAAATTCTTACCCCCCTTTTTTATTAGCTCATTTGAAAGAGCGTAAAAAGTTATGCCAGATTCCACCGAAAAAGGGTGAAATTTTTGAACTTATGACGTCATAGCACGTGATTGAAGTTCCAAAAGTACCTTTTCTTCCGGACATCGGCATTTCCGACTACTCTAAGGTAAGCAGGCATGCGATACATGAAAATGATCGTCTTCTCGAGCTCTACATCGGCGTCTAGGTTTCAACCCTTTTCAACCCTTTTCATCCCTTTTTTTCAACCCTTTTTCCATATATCTATATTTTTGAATGAAAAGTACAGATCTAGGGTAAATTGAGGCGTAGATTACGAAAAAAATATCGACATTTACGTTTCATCCCTTTTTTGACCCTTTTCAACCCTTTTTTCAACCATTTATTTTTAAAATTATTATTTTTAAATATGCATGCAGCTCTAGGGTAATTTCCTACGTAGATACCGAAAATGATAACGAAATATTCGTATCATCTCATTTTTGAAGCTTTTCAACCTTTTTTTTCCAAAATTTTCGAAATGCGCGAAATTTTAACTTTGCGCAAATCATAACCAGGTGATTTTCTATTGTCTAATTATTTGTCAAAATGAAATTCGGCAGAATTAGCAAGCAGTTTATATGATGTACAATCGGCACAAAAATCAGAATCATCGAACAAGCAGCAAAGATTCGGGCAAACGTTGTGGCTGACAGAAAACTCGACAAAATCACGTCTGCTCTTCTGGATCTCCTTGCATTTGACCATTCTTATTGAAGACATGCTGGTCTTGATAGGATTCCCTTCGGTGTCTTTCTTTTGTAGCTTTGTCATCTTGTCGAAAACGCTGTCGTGGATGCGCAAAATTTGGAGGTCAGTTTCCTTCGGCTCATGCGCGAAGTTGATGAAAATCCCATCGTCCTTGTCTTTGTCCTTCATTTTTTCGTTCAATTTCAGGACATAATCGCTCAGCTCAAGAGTCGGAATGCAAAGACCGTTCATCTCATCCGCGCGCATCGCGATCTTAGCCCGCCCGCCAACGGCATCGATGGTAGATTTGCCGTGGCGGGCTTGCTTGAAGACTTTAGTGACGGGCATTCCCCAACCATCGACATCGTTCAAGTCCGAGAGAACTCTTTGAGATTTATAGTCCTGAATTTGTTTAGACTTGCGCAAAAATATATGCTCTTACCCCAGCCTGATCTGTGAGAAGAATCGAGCGATGAAATTCATCGAAGATCTTGTTCTCTTTAGCAAACTGAATTGCCATTTGGAAGTGCTTCTTGACGATATGCGGGCCTTTCTTTGCACTTTTGAGTGAGTCGTTCCTCCAGAGCATCAGAGTTGAGTTGAAACGGATCCGTTCAGACTCGTTATTGTCGGACAAACGATAGCCCCAGAGAATCAGCGTGTGAACAATCAACTCATCCTTGTCTGCACCGGATCGCAAAGTATTCTAGATTCATTTTAAAACTGCGCAAAATTTTGCGCGCTTTGATTCTCGTCCTTGTTTTATTTTTGCGCAAAATTTTGAACCGCGCATTATTAAAATGATCAGACTTACAGCTTGTGTTGAAGTTCCACCACTTTTGCCAGCAGAGAATTCGCCAGCGAAGTCTGCCTCGGCGATAAGAACATCTCTTGGGTGAATTTCTCCCATGCGAAGTTTCGAGCAGAGATGTGCGGAGAGGATCGTTTCCGTTAAATGTGCAAGATCTGCGCGCGAGAATTTCGCCAGTTCAATAATAAGGCCCTTTAAGTTTGTTAAACTTGTCAACAAGATTAAATTACCTTGGCTGAATACGTTTTTGTTTGTGCAATATCTTTAATAGCTCCTCCATGATGCCTTTTTCGTGCAAGTCTCTCCATAACTTTCGTTTTAAAGACCATCATGTTTTGAGGGCCGTTGTCCTCCATGATATCCTTGATTTCCTCGTATTTTTTCAGCGTAGTTGAAAAATCCAGGTTCGAGTCTTCAGAGCAACTGCATTTAAATTCAGCACAGGAAGGGGCGAACACTCCAAGATCTTGGTAGAGTGGCTGCTTACATCCTTTCGAGGCCATAAGAAAGGTGAGTGTCTCTTCTAGAGTGAGTTTCCTGGTAGTAATTTCAACGTGAAAAAGGAGATCGGAGACTAAACAAGATTTATACTTCTGCGCAAAATTTTGCGCAAACTTAAAACTCAAACTAATGTAAAAACTTGCGCACTCACCTCTTCCGCAAATATTGCGCAAGTTATAGCAAGGAGGACAGATGCAGCTGAATTGATCTTTCACTCGTGGCTCCACAAACATCTTCGGAATTAGATTTTTAAAATGAAATGCAGAAATCTCCTCTTTGTCTTCAAGAACTCTTCTCTTGTTCATCTCTTCCCAAAGCAGTGTGTATTTTGTGTGACAGAGGCGACGACAAACGCGAATTTTTTCTTTTCCATCTTTCATGAACTCTTGTATACCGTAAAGGTTTCGATTTTCCGGACTCAGGAAGACTTTGAAGAAGTTTTCAGATGTATTTGCGCGCAGTCTGTGCGTAAATGCTTCGTAAACGTCTGTTTCTGGGCTTTCATCAGAGCTAAAGAAGAGGTATTTCAAAATGTAGTGAATGTCCTCGTCTTTAATTTTGCGCAGGCGACGACCTTCCGGCTCTTCGATGTTATCCAAGTCATAAAGCTGTTTTTCTTTTAGATCCAACGCTTCTGTAAAATGAGCTCGCGTCATAAGCTGAGGATGGTTTTTCTTTGCGTATTTTTTCGAGATTTTGTTGAAATATGAAATATATTTCCGAACGGTCTCATCTGCGCAACCTCGTAGAAACTCTTCTGGCAAGCAAGCTGCTAGAATCTGAATCTTCTCTTTCTTCTTGACGGAATGCCAGTGCTTCGCGATGTGCGCATTGAACGAATTTTCCGGAAGAAAGAGTTCACGAGCCTCATAGAACACGTTCATTTGATCACTTATTTCGCGCGATGCCTTCTCAACCACTTTTTTCTTTGCGCTTCCCAGATGGCTCATCGTTTCTCCGAATGATTCTCTTGTTGAATTAAGAATTTCTCTCTCTTCATCTTCATCTGTTGAGTTGTTCGCCGCCGTTTCGACATAGTCCTGACTTGAGCCCGAAGAACTTTGAGAAGACGAACTAGTTGAGGAGTTCTGCGTTTCCACGGCGGGTTCAAGAGCTAGAAGAGCAGTTATATTTTTGCGCAAAAATATAGCGTACCGGCTAGGTTTTCTGTCAATGATTGCTGTGAATCAAGATTTTGCGCATTTCTATAAGCGTCAAAGATGTCTTTTACTTTTGCGCAAAAGAGGTAGTGAAGGAGGAGGTATCTGTCTTTCTTGAGGTTTTGTTTGCCACAAAAGGAACATGCGTGCCCTTCTTTGTAGTCCTGATGATTCTTCAGAAGTTCTTCATTGATCATCGACAAGTCATCAAAGATTTTCTCCGTCATCTCGCATTGATTATAGTGCTCTACAACAGTCGATTTCGAACGACGATCGCTTACTTGTGTTGCCTTGAGAAGGGGATCGTCGCAAACATGGCATTTCCTTAGAGGTTCCTTTGATTTTTTTATGTCAGGATGACTTATGAATAATTTAAGACTTTCAAAATCATCAAAAGGATAATTCATTCTAAATAAAATTCGTTAGAAAAATATTAATGCGCAATTTTTCTCTTCAATTCTCTCTGTTTAAGTTTGAGCAGTTTTTATATCAAAAGAGAAAAGAAAATAATCAAGTTGTTTACAGGGAGCGCGCGCAGATTTTGGGGTTGGTGTCCAATCAGAATGAAGCAAGATGACAAAAAAGGGAAAAGAAATAAAATTGCGCGATTTCAGAGCTCTGAAATATTCTGCGCAGATTTAAAATTTTCCTCGATTCGGCTTTTGCGCGATATCAAATTTGAAATACTGCGCATTCCTAAAATCTTAAAAAAAGACGGTTGAAAATGCTCAAAAAAGAGATGAAACGAAAATTTCGTTATCATTATCGTTATCAACGCACAAATTTAACCTAGAAACGCGAGCTAATTTTAAAATATGAATTTTGAAAAAAAGGGTTGAAAAAGGGTTTAAAGGGTCAAAAAAGGGATGATACAAGTATATCGATATTTTAATCGTAATCTACGCTCAAAGTTACCCTAGAACTGTAATATTCCTTCAAAAATATAGATATTGAAAAAAAGGATTGAAAAAAGGGTTGAAAAGGGTTGAAACCTAGACGCCGATGTAGAGCTCGAGAAGACGATCATTTTCATGTATCGCATGCCTGCTTACCTTAGAGTAGTCGGAAATGCCGATGTCCGGAAGAAAAGGTACTTTTGGAACTTCAATCACGTGCTATGACGTCATAAGTTCAAAAATTTCACCCTTTTTCGGTGGAATCTGGCATAACTTTTTACGCTCTTTCAAATGAGCTAATAAAAAAGGGGGGTAAGAATTTCACTCAGAAATCCTTATTGAAAATCGTCACTCAGGTTAACCCTAACCCTACACAGGTTTTCGAGCGCAGGCCTAGGAAATCCTTTTGCTGATTCTCTAACCATGATTGGTCCAAAGACAAAATACTTGTTTCTTATTGGTTATTAAATTTTAAGGCGAAAAACCTGATTGAGGTTAACCCTAACCCTAATCAGGTTGCTGAGCGCAGGATTTAGCTTTGATTCAGTTTGAAAAAATGAAACTAACAGGGCGTATCTTACAGCAACTGGAGGCGAAAGTAAGATGAGCTCTAGAATGTGTGTTACGAATTCCAAATGTAAATGAAGCTACCAAGCACTTGGCTACCGGTCGTCGCAATCTTTCGCTTCCGCCTCGCCAGGAAATTGCGCTATCAATTTTTTGGAGTCTTTTACTCGTCTATGACGAGTCCTATTACTGAAGCCGCCAATTTCTTTGCAATTACAGTAATATCCCAAAATGAAAACTTAACTAAAACTTTTTCGGAAGTCGCTCATACCCACTCAGGACCCTGACTCAGGTTTTCTACATAGATTTTGAGAATTTTTCTATTTTTAAAATTGCCATTTACGTTCTCCAACCACTTCGAAAAAACACTAAAAAAGAAACTAGCAACGTCAAAAATCCCCTCTAATCAAAATTTTCTCTCTAAACCAACGGCGCGGGCCACATCAGACGGCGGCGCCAGTTCAATTCAAAATATATTCTGGACGCCGCAAGTTCCAGATCAAAAACACCTGCAATGGGGAGTATGATTTTTATACGCTTATAAGTTCATTACCGCATTTTTTAGGCAGCATTTTTCTTAAGAAAAAAAGCTGTCTTTGGCAACCTGTGAAGAAGACCTGAGTCAAGATTTTGGAAAAGCTCTGATAAAAGCCGCAAAGCGGCTTTTTTAAAATGAAGCCGCAAAGCGGCTTCGCCAAAGTTTAAGAGTAGTTTCAAAGGGGTGCTGTCAGGAACTGACAAAAAATTTCGACAAATTTTGCGTGGGCGGCTACTCGGCTGCTGATTGGCCGGTTCGCCGAAACCAGCCTCCTGATTGGATAAAATTTCCACGCGAAATTTGTCGAAATTTATATGTCGGTTCCAGACACGTCCCCGTTTCAAATGCCATTTTGACGAAGCCGTTTTGCGGCTTTCTTTTCAAAAAAGCCGCTATGCGGCTTTTATCAGATCTTTTCCAGAACCCTGTCGTAGGTTTTCAACCCCTTTTTACAGATAATCGAGGCCAGAAACTGGTTTTTTAGCCGCAAAAAGGGCTGTTAAAAAGTCTGAAAAAGGGAACCATTAAACACGATGTTTTTTGGTGGAAGCTTTCGATCAAATCTTGGATTTAATTCTTACCCGTGCTGTGTTCTGAGAACGTGTCAGACAACGGGTTTGGTCAGATAAAGTTCTAATTTTAGATAATAGAAGTGTCCACTTCTCCCCGCGCGTTAGTTAAGTTACCATAACTTTATGACATCGACACTCGCGATTTTCTGATTGTTTTGTCATTTTGCGGGTTTTATTCGAAAGATAATTTCTCGATTTAGAGAACCTCGACTGAAGTGGTATTTTGACTACTTGAATAAATCAGAAGTCAGCAAAATGGACTAAGAATTATTAAGGAAAATATAATGTCTAAGGGAAGAAAATGGAGGTTCTTGGAATTTTTGTTGTTATTTTAGCGACATTTGAAGACATTAACACACATCAATGGACATCGACGACAATTTTAGAATAAAATCAGACATCAAAGGACATCTAGAGACATTCAATAGCATCTGAAGACATCTAGGGGCATCTTAATAGCCTGAGGACATTCAGCATGTACATCTTGGGACATTTTTTAAGACATTTAAAGACATGAAAGTACACCTAGCGAGATTTTGTGACATTTTTAGACGTCAGGGACATCAAGGGACATCTCAAGAAATCCTTCAATATCTAAAGATATTTTACGATATTTGAAGACATCTAGCTTCGTTTTGAAACATATGAGAACATTTAGCGACATCTCATAACATCTAGCGACATCTACCGATACATTTTGAGGATTTTTGTTCGCTAAGAGACTTCAAAAAGAGGCGGACAGCGGTTATAATCGCAGCGGATAACGAAAGCAAACAGTAATCAGTCGTCTTTAATGCCGGACAAAAGCGGACGCGGATTTGTTTTCGCTCGTGAACTCGCTTTCTAACTTTCATTTTTGCCACAACGAAATTTCGAGAATCAAAAATGTCAAGAAAAATGTCTCTGGAGCCTTTTAAAAGAAGAAAGGTATTTTCCGTTATTTTGAAAATAAAAAAGAAAAGTAACGGGCTTGTCTCTAAAAATAAAGATAGGTCAGCTAGACCGAAAATATTCGAAAACAATTTTCTGTTATTTTCAAACTCGTTGGCAGCAAAAAAAGAATGTTTTCATCCCTTTTTTTAAACTGGGTCAAATGAAGGTTCTAATGTAATTTTATTAATCAAATTAGCGCTAGAAATGGAATCATTTTTTTGGATAATTTTCCTTGAATGATCGATAATAATCAATAATAAAGAATGAAGAAGAATGTCTTTGTAGAGGTGCATTTCAAATGAATACTAATCGAGGGACCGCAAACACGCCGCAAAAGTGTCAATTCTAATGCCAAATGCATAAGAATCTTGAGCCCCATTGCGGTCACCCGACAGCTCGCAGGATTTATACCAAAGTTGCTAATGAGCTTCTTTGAAGATCAAAAGAAGAACAAATCCAAGATGCTCAACTAATTGCTCATCGCAAAATTTAAGGAAGAAAACAGCACGAATATGGATTTTGTCTCCGCTTTTTTAGATATTGACACCCTTATTTTCTTCCCTGGTGGTTTTCTCTTTAAAATCCCAAGATAACCCTTTTTAACCGTTTTCAGTGGAAAAAAGCTGACCATAATTTATTCCGCCAACATGAGAAAAAACACCATCTTTGCTTGTGGAAAAAACAAAATGTAAATTTGTTGAACGAGTCCAATCTGAGGTCGCAAACATGTTTTTTTCTGGAGAAGATGGTGGTCTGGGAAGATTTATCTTTCCAGAGAAAATGTTTAGCTGGCTTGGGCTCGTCAAACTTGGAGCGTTGTTTAGAACTATCTCTGGCGCGGGTATTAGAGCTGCTTTGCCTTGCGTTCACAGTAACCCGTAAACATACCTTTTGATGTGTTCTCCCGCTGTCTTGCTCCGCTGGCACTTTTCAAAAGATTCAAACATCTTCTAAAATAGCCCCTTTCGCTACACAGAAAACTCAAAAAAATGTGGACTCTGATTCTTTGAGTATTCAATTAATCCTTATCTCCGGCAGCTGTAATTGGTAGCTTCCGGAACTACCGATAAGCGAAAATAAAAATTGTAGTCTACAATTTTCATTTTCTACAGAGGGATCTTTCGATAACGAATTTCCCCATCAAGCGCTCTGATTGGTCGATTTAACCGACTTCTGAATTCAATATTTTGACCAATCAAAATCAAGAAAAATCGCTATTGAAAGGCCCCTCTGTAGAGCTGGGCTCTAAAACCTGTGTAAAAACCTGAGTCAGGATTTTGAAAGAATAAAATGAAAAACCGCTTCGCCAAAATTATCAGAATTTTTTTAACTTTGAATTTCATAGATTTCTTTTAGAATCCTGACTCGGGTTTTTTAGGGAAATGGTCGGACTCATTACCAATTGGCGAAAAAGTAAAAATAAATTGATAATGGACTACCAAAAATTGGTAATGGGTTACCAAAAATTTTGGTAATGAGTCCGACCGTTCCCGGTTTTTTACACAGGTTTCCGAGCCCAGCTGTAGAGTTGACATTAAAAATTTCATCAAGAAAGTCATCAATTACGCCAGGAATAAACCATTCCTGCCAAAAATGATGATTTCTCAAGATCATCTTCGAGCTCAAATGCAAATCAATATTATAACTTATCGATTTACCGTTTTACAAAATTATTTCAAGAAAAAAAATTGCCGAAAAAGCGCCGTTCAAGAAAAAATTACATGATGCACTTTGCTTCGAATTCGATTTACGTGATCGGATTAGGCGAAGGATCTTTGATTTTAAACCTTTTCACGGGTCAGCCAACGCCTCGGCTTTTTTTAAAGAGACGTTTCGAAATTTAATTTTCTTTGAACGGGCTGTTTGGGAAATATTGATCTGAGGCTGGGTTAATTTAAGGCTTGGGGTCACTTTTTTCTCACGCTTTCGATTGAACGTGGTTTATTCCGTAAATGCTGTTCAGAAAATTTTCATAACAAAAGCAAGGAGAAACATGAAGAATAAGAGTTTCTCTTCAGAAGTTACTGGAGAGACACTCTTAGTTTATTCAGCTTAAAAATCGGGCTAATGTGGGACTGCGATTTTTTGTTTGCGACGAATTTTCATGGAAAATCCATGAGAAAAGTTAGCCAATCAGAGGGCTGTATTCGGCTTACCGGCCAATCAGTGGCCAGTATTTTTTTCCGGAAAATTTTGTCGCGAACGAAGAGTCGCAGTTTGACACTTTCCTTAAAAAACCTTGTCTGGGCTCGGCAACCTGTGTAGAAAACCTGTGACAGGCTTTCAAAGAGCTTTAATGAAAAGCCGCGTAGCGGCTCGTTTATGAAAAAGCCGCTACGTGGCTTTTCATTTTAGCTCTTTCAGATCTCCTCTTATGTTTTCTCCACAGGTTGCCGAGTGCATATCATAGTGACACCCTTATTTCTTTGCTCAAATAATGGCCATGCCCATATTTAGAGCCTTGGTTTTATTTTGAGCATCAAAATTAAGGGTGTCACTACGGTATTTTTGGGAAAAATAATCTGAAGAAAACCAAATTTTGCGATGTCTAGTAGACATTTTCTATGACGTAATTTAGATAATTGTTTGAATCCTTTCCTTTGACGCAGAAAATGGCGTTGATGAGTCTTCTGTGTCTGCTTCTGTAACTGACTGCGGCGGCGATAAAGACTAGCAGTCCTATAAAGACGGGAATGGCGGCTTTTCGCGGTTTTGAAACAAAGCAAAGCTTTCAATTTCAGCCGAAAAGCCACAAAGTTATGAAAATCTCAAGGCCAAGCTCTCAAGCGCTGTCGTAACTTGTTCACCGCTCAGCAGTAAACGAAAATGGCTTTTTGAAAAGAACTTTGGTTTTTCAATGAAAATATACTTTTGGTCGATGTTTCATCAAATTATGCTGTGTAATCGAGATTAATTACCACATTTAGTGGTCTTCAAAAACTTCCTAAAAAAGCGGATTTTTACGGTAATTTGGATTCTTTGATTGGTCGAGCAAAACGATATGGTTTTCAACTTGACCAATCAGGGGCCTTGATGGATAATTTTGGTATTGAGAGAATATTCAAAAAAGGGTCTTTTAGATAGCCATTCCCTTAATCCTGCCCTTTGATTGGTCGAAAAAAGTAGGTTTTAATTAAGCCAATCAGAGGCTTGGATAAAAGTTGTCCATCATTGTTTTTGATTGGCCGAGATTATTAATCTTTTAAAAAGCTATTTTTCAAGCTCGACCAATCAATTAAGAATCTTGAAAAAATTCTGTAGAAATATTCTGTCATTTCAATGAACATTTTTGATATAAAAAGATAAGATCGAGAAATTCTTGGTCTTCAATTCTTCAATTCTTCCAAATCTGGGTTCCTGAAATTCCCAAGAGCTTCTTGAGAACCCTTGATAAAATTCCTTTCTATTTTTTAAATCGCTGGAATGTTAAGTATTACATTCATCAGATCAGCTTCTCTCGTGAATGATTATAAAGAGTTTCCTCTTCCGAAAGTTTTTTGTTTTGACAAATTGCATGAATTTTGCTTTTTATGACGAAACCACGTGATCAAAAAAATACTGAAGAATTTCGAACTTTTTTTTCGTTCCTAATTGAAGGCTGAATCACGTGGTAAAGAACAGCGGACGTATGATCCGACCGCGCTCTGGAATTTCTCGAAAATAGCCTAACGTTGGCCAACAGATCATGGTTTCTTTGTGACCATCAAGACATGCTGCAGGTATTTAGCTAAATATTCATCAGATATTCTAGTGGATAAACTGGGCGCAACTTAGAATTGCTCCGCGATTAGGAGCATTTTTAATTCGAACTCAAGAACTACAACTTTCTGTTTTTCTGCTTTTTTTTGACTCGGAAAGCTGAGTAAAAAACCTAAGTCAGGGTTGTTACAGAGCTTATATAAAAGATACGTAGCGGCTTTTTTTTGTAATAAAGCCGCGGAAAAATCTATTCATTCTTATTTATAAATGATTTTCTCGAACCCTGACTCAGGTTTTCTACATTGTCAGGTTACTGAGTAAATCAACGTCATACCCTTATTTATCTCCGAGCTAGTTTGAAAAACCTGAGTCAGGGTCTAGCAAAAGATTCGCTTTATGATACATTTTTCTCTGGACCCTGACTCAGGTTTTTCAAACTGGCTCAAAGATAAATAAGGGTGTCAGGAAGCTAAATTCGGCAACCTGTGTAGAAAACCTGAGTCAGGGTCCTGCAAAGCCTTCGCTTTCCAATAAATTTTTTCTCAAAACCCTGACGCAGGTTTTTTACACAGGTTCGCGAACTGAGCCTGCTTTTTTCTAGTTTTATTTCTTCAAAAATCCTAATTTGATAAATAACAGAAAAATCCGATGCCGGAAGAAGGAGGTGGCTTGTGGTGTACTTTGTCTGGAATGCCAAAGTTTAGAATCCCGATAGAACGCGTGCTTAGAAAGCTTTTGTTCCGAGAAGCGGGATTATCAAACTTATCAAATCCTTTCCGGTTCGCTTCAAAAAAGGGTTGAACTTCTTTCAATCTTTCAATTCAAAATACAAATTTCAAGCTCTCCCGTTTTTATCCTAAAACAAATAAACCCTTATAAAACCCTCGCTATCTTTTTTGGCGATTCTAGTGCCTCGATTAAGATAAAAACAACTGTCAAAATAGCCGGCCCAGAAGAAGAAAAAAAGGTTGACACACGAGAGACAGGGCAAAATAGACATGTTTTAATTCCAGCGTAATCGCTGCTTTTTCGGCGGGAAGCAACAACAGTTCGAATTCTTTGCGGAAGTAAATATTGTCAAAAATTAATTTGGACTAAGAAAATAAAACAGAAAATAATTCGTTTCTTAGATTCAAGATTCAATGACGGACGAAAACCACAAAATAAGTAATTAGAAAATACCCCCTTAAATTTTAAAAGAATTACAGTATTTTTAATTGTTGTAACTAAGTTCACAAAAATGATGTTTGATCTAATCAGCTTGGCGGAGGAATTCATGAGTTGACCCGGACCACGTCAAAAGTTATAAGGAGTTAATGTTAATCCGGCGAAAGGAGCATCAAATTAAAGCGAGCACGTGTAAGAGGCGCAGGCTTAGAAAACATCTTCTAAACCCGCCACCACGTGTGTTCAAATAAGTCGAGGGCAAAGTCGATAGTGTGAAGTAGATTAGCGATTCGAGTGAATCTCGAGATCACCGCAAATCACCCAAATATTCTCATTGGCCCGAAACTAGGATTAGAAATTGACGGATAAAAAGTTCAATGAGAAGAAGAGCCCTATTATCTTCCAAAGCTATTCCTGACTCAGGTTTTCCACACAGTTTGCCGAGCCTGTTGAAGGACCCCTTCGTCAAGTGATAATGACTTTTTCAAACACGGATATCGAGTTGATCCCCTTAAGATTATTGAAATATTTTTTGGTTATTTTGTAGCTCGATAGTTGCTCGAGGGCACCAGAAGGAAAACAAGCTCATAGCCTATGAGTCATAGGCCTCTTAAGGGTGTCGCAACGATAAGTTAAAGTGAAAATATTTTTCAAACATGGATATCATTATGATCACCTTAACTGATCAAAATTTTTTTATGTTAAAAATTTAGCTGAGACCCTTGTCTAGGGCACCGCATCAAGTGTATGATGACATCTTAAGGGTTTCACTAATAAAAAAGGGTTTAAAGATTGGTGATCGGCCGAAAAATGGGCAAATTTAGCTAAAAAAAGCCCCAAAAACGTGATTTTCAAAGTGGATTTTGAGGGTCAAAAAGTCGAAATAGAATTTTACGACATTAGAGAAAAATGATCCTCAGAACTTAGAGAATCTATTCCCGAAAATCGTCAAACATGACGGGGGTCCTTAATAGAAATAAATCTGAGGAATTCGGACTTCGTAGGAAAAGTCGTTAATTTCGCAACCTAATGGCTCGTTGGTCATTAAAACGTGGCAATTTTATATAAGCAGTTTACTCTCAAAAAGAAAGAGAACAAGCACAAGAACTAAAATCTTTCAAAAATGCAGAACGAAGATACTCAATCGGTCATTTCTTTTAGCACCCTTTGAGATTACAGAAACGAAGGACTCCCGAATGCGGCAGAGGGTCTCCGAATTGATTATTCAACGATCAAGTCAATTTTGGAGAGAATAAAGAAGCTTGAAAAAGACAATGCAACATATCGAGCTCTAGCATTTGATTTGCAGCAAGTGAAAAATGAGTTGACAGCGAAAAACTATGAGCTGGAAACACGAGTTTCCGAGCTAGAGATATTCAAAGAAAACACGATTTTAGCAAGTCAGGAGCGCGATTTCCAAGTCGAAGATCTCCGAAAAACAATTGGACTTTTCACCATAGAAATCGCAAGTCTCAAACAGCTCAAAGGAACACCTAAACCTGACAACGAGGAATCTCCTCGTTTTCAAAAAGAAATTACTGCTGAGGAATTGGAAGCACTTTTTTCCTGAAAGGAGGACATGGTTATATGATATAACTTATATCCGTTTGAATATAAGAATAAGAAATAATCATTCTGTACATTTAATGATTCAGAATAAAGTCTTTCTAAAATTCTTAACGTTTTTGTGATAGATTCTCTCTTACCAACTCTTATATGGATGGAATGGTTCTACAAAAAAAACTGGCAAAATAAAGAACGAAAACTTCTCAAAAAATATTTTCATAAGACTAAGTAGCTTGTGAAGCTTTTCTGCGTGAGAAGCGTCAATTTACCAAACGTGCTTTAAAAATCACTAGAAAAGACCTTTAGCGGTAAGTCCGCTGCCAGGATTACGTGAGAAAGTGTCTCAATCACTTTCGTTTTTAGAAGAATTAGATGAATAATTTTTCCGCTAAAAGAACTGCTCGAGCAAGTGTGTTTTCGCGTACCCGCCAGAATGTGACAAGCAGCAAGAGCTTGCCAAATTCAAGGGTGTTTTTCTAGCTTGGGCAGCTTTTAGGCCGAATAACATGAATTAAAGCCGCTTTGGAGAAAGTTCTTTTTTATTTGTTTTAAAAAAATACAGTCGAAAATGTCTAATTAGCTTCAATTAAAAATATGTTTTGATGTGAATGTTTCCCGAGAATCTTTCGAGTACTCGAAACAATTGAAATTAGCAAAAGTGTTTTTGGAAATACAGCTCATGGAAAAACGTTTGTTGTGGAAAAGAGACGCTACAAATTGGGTCCAACCCGTTCACTGCAATTTTCAGTTGTTTTCTGCTAATATTTTGAATAGATAAAGTGGCCTAAATACATAAAATACAAAGAATTAGGCTTTATTATTGTCAAATTTGGAGTTCTAACCCTAAAAATTATTAATGAAGTGATAAAAATTGGATTAAAAATCCATTTATTTGGTTCTTAAATGGCAAAATCATAACTAAGAATCTCCGAAATTTGATTGGCCTACTAGCTGAACGCGGACGTCTTATTGGTCAAAAATCTAACCAAAATTTTGTTCAAAAATGTCGCATTTTTTTGTCGAATCCTGCTTTCTCCCCTGAATAAGTAAAAAAGTTGCTTCTTGAATTATTGACCAATCAAATTGCTCGATGAGAAAATTTATTATCAAATGAAACCAAAGTAGGGATGAAAATTTTCTTTGAAAAAAATGGTTTGTGAAAATAATTTGTTTTGAGTACGGTGTCGGTTTTTCGAATTACGAAGTGAAATAAGTTTCCAACAAGGCGAAAAAATGGTTTGTTAGGCTTATGGATTTATCGAGCTTGTGGCGACGATGGAGTGAGAAAACGTTGGCTAATCCGGCAATAGACGAACTTCTGCTTTTAAACTGTTTTTCATTTGGTTTTTCGAAATGGAACTTTTTTGGAAAACACTGTTTCGTTTTGATAAGTGCAAATTTGGTGGTGGCTGAGTGCATTAAAAGCGATTTTCTAAAGGAAAAGCGCAGGTGGGAATGTTGGGCGAAATTCCGAAAAAACCGAAATGGTGAAAACTGGGCCACAACGCTGCGGGTTAAAAGGAGACTTGCCCTCTCATTTTCGCGCAAAAATAAGGGTGTCACTTTGTTTATTTTTTTTGGGAAAAAAAGGGAAAAAATCGATGCTCGAAAATCTTAGTAAAAAACCTGACTCAGGCTTTTCTTTTATTAAAGCTGATTGAGAACCTGACTCAGGTTTTCTACACAGGTTTTGCCGTGTCAATAAGTTTCAAGTTAATTTCACAAAAAACTCAAAACCTTAAAATTAAAAAAAATGCAAATCAAATTTTTTGAAACGAAAAATTACGGTTTCTGGGTTTCACTTTGTCCTCCAATAAACGAAAGAAGGCTAAATCAACCCCATCGTCGGAAATGGACTAGTTTTGACTGCGGCGGCGGAGGATAATCCCCTCTTCCTTTCTAATTGGGCTGCTTTAAGTGCAGCGAAAATAAGTACTCTGCGGCGAAAACCAAAACATAACAGTCCAACTAAAACCAAAGAAGAAGACAGTCCAGTTTTCTTCTTCAAGAAAAAATGGGGATTTCCTCCGTAAATGAGAAAAACAAAAATTAGAAAGAAGACTTTCCTGAGAAAAATAATCGGGTCGAAAACGAGTCGTGAAAATAGAAAGACTGTAACTCTCACTGTAGACATGTATGCTATGATTTTATTCGACAAAATCAAAACCAAGTTTTCCGATTTTGATTGGACAGAACTTTTTGAGCTAATAAGCCAATCAGATTTGGTCTTTCTGCCCGAAATTTTTGACTGAGAAAACTGACTTTTTTTTTCAATTTAGATCCGATTTTTTTCCCAGAAAATCGTTGAACAAACATTTTAGTTAGGAAGTAGCATTGTTGCCCTGCATTCTTGCAAATAATTGAAGGCATAATCGAATTGTCTCAAGACGTGCATGAATTGAGTTGAATAGGCTGTGGCGGCGGGTCGAGGGAAATTCCGGGCGGCGATCTTACGTTCAATTCCAGAAATTCCACTCGCCATGGGATCAAAAAGCAGCTCCAAATGAGCCAACGGGTGACATAACTCAGCACAAAGTGGCAACACCCAGCTCCAAATCACCCCTTTTTTTCCGACAAAATGAGCCGCTTCACATGTCCAATGAGATAATTTCTAGCGCTTGAACTTAAAGTTAGCTGCTCATGAAAAATCTCTGAAACATTTTTGACCCTCCGACCTGTGTGGAAACCTGAGTCAGGGTCCTGAAAGAGCATCGCAAAATTTTGAAATCGAATAATGCGATTGTTCTGGCGAAGCCGCTTTGCGGCTTTATTCAAAAAGAAGCCGCTTCGTGGCTTTCGCAAAGGATCTTTCAGGACCCTGACTCAGGTTTTTAACACAGGTTGTGGACCTAAAATAATTCCAAAAAGCAACGTTTAAATTATTCTTTAGTGCGTTTATTCAGGAAGTAAGAAAACGAGATAAGAACAGAATGCTTTTGAGAGAACAGTAAGTTACTAAAGTCAACTGGTTTCATGTTTATTTAGATCGACACTTGCCGCTTATCACTGTCAGATTTGCATGCTCATTTTTTTCAGCACTTATCATAATGCGAGAACAAGAGAACAGTAGCTTCATTTTTGATAGAAATAATTGAAGAAATTTCAAAAAATAGATAAAAACACAGGCAGCAACCTTCTTGAGTTCACTGTAAATTGTGACGCAAATGCGACCAAAAATATGTCGTTTTCAATATTTTTTCCGGAGAAAATTCGTCCTTTTTAAGACGCGTCTAAACCAGCCCAATTCGGGCAAAACCAAGAAAAGAAAGTGATTTTCTGTATATCTGGGTTTTGATTGGCCATCGGGCCAAGTACAGCAATTTTATTGGTTGTTCAGAAAATCGCTTCCTTTTCTCGGCTTATGCCCCCAAATTATGGAGGATTAACGAATCGTATTTTTTATCAAAAAATTTGATGGACTTAACCAATTAATAGAATTGCATTTTTGGATAACAATTAAGATTGCTGTATTTGAGCTGCCAACCAATCAAAACCCTGATTTAGAAAACCACTTGCGTAAATTGGTTTAACCCATATTTTTCGGGCAGAGCCGAAAAAAAGGAAGTTATTTTCTTGACCTGGGTGTTGATTGGCCGTTGGGTAAGTACAGCAATCTTATTGGCTATCCAAAAAACCACCTCCAATTTTCGGTTTCGTCCAAATTTTCCATGACTCAAGAAAATATGATAATTTTTCGCAATATTTCTGCCCAATTCACGGTATTTTAAACTCGTCAAGACATAAGTCCTAATTGAATTGCGTGCGGAACAAACGTAGTACCCAAGCCGCGGGGAAGGGGCTTATCGAATAAGCTCCGCTAAAGCTGAGAAATGTGAACGTTTCCAGCTTCCTCCATTATTACAAAATTGCTTCCCGCTGCTCTATCTTTTTCTTTCTTCCTTTTTTCAAAATGACAAGTTGTTTTGACAGAAAGTGGAAATTCTGACACGCGCGGAAAAAAAAAGAGCCGAATTGGAGGAGATTTGGAAAGTGAGATTTTGAAAAGCGCTTTTTGAGAAAAAGCGACTTGCATAAGAAAAAATGCAAAGGCGAGGATCAGGTTGTAAACATGAAAGGATGGAGAGCGGATTCGAGAGGCGGAGATTTGCCAGAAGATGTCGGAAATTTGATTTTCTGACTAATAGAAGGACCCAGAAAGGAGGAGGGAAATGAGCTTGAAAGTTTAAAAAAGAGGATGACGCATAATCACAAAATTTTTTGAGAATTTTTTTTCTGTTTCGGGAAAAAAAGGCATAGTAAAGGGTTCAAACTCAATTTAGGAAAGAGAATTAAGGGTATCACAAAATAAGGGTTTTCATAAATTTTCATTAAAAAACAAAAAAAAAACCATAATTCAGCATGAAGATACCCTTAATTTTTAAGAATTTCTTCTTTTTCTAAAAATCTGAAGAAAATAAAAGATAAAAAAATCGTTCATTCGGGCCAATTCCCCTCAGGAGAGCCCAATTGGCCTTGAAACCTGTGTTGAAAAACTGAGTCAGGGTCCTGAGAGAATTTTTATAAAGAAAGCCGCAAGGTAAAAACTACCATCTTTGCCTTTTCCACCTCTGGCGGCTTTTTTTGGGAAGATCTTTCAAAGCCCTGACTCAGGTTTTTTACACAGGCTATTAAGCACAACTTAGCCCTTAGCGAGAAATTTTTAAAATGGAAACTTTTTCATTTCTTCTGAGAAAAATATTTTTGTTCACAAAAAAATCAACCTCAAAAATCTCCCGCGATTGTAACACTTTTTCATTTTATCACCCGTTCCCCGATAAACTCGTCATTTTTATAATCATAAAAAAAGAAAAAACGAAAAAAATGGCTGAAAACCGCGACCTGATAAAACTGGAACCAAAGGATTGTAGCTCGTTGTCTGGACGTCGGCGGCGTTTTCGGATGGAATTGGCGGTACTTTTTTTCGGATCAGCGAAAGCTAGAATTTTCTAATTTTAGGGGATTTGAGCAGAGCTCAGATTTCCGCTACACTCTACCGTGAAATGAGAAGGGATCAAGGATTTTGCTATTTCGTAAGAAATTTTTTCGAAAATGAAATGCAGCATCTTTCTTTGGGCTCGATTACCTGTGGAAACAACCTGAGTCAGGGTCTCAAAAAGATTTAATGAAGTAGTTCTTTCGGACCCTGACTCCTGTTTTCCACACAGGATATTGAGCCCAGATCTTTCTGGAAAGAAAATATTCTAATTCTGCAAAGCCGCAATTTGCTATTGAATAAATTCTTACAAAAATTTGCCGCACGCGGCTTTTGTCGCTAAAAATTGCGAGAAAATGAGCAGAAATCAATGAAAATCTATCGTTTTTTAGCTTTGTTTCCAAAAAAAAGCCGCAAGCGGCTTTTTCTGTAAAAATCTTTTGATAATTGCGGCTTTTCCAAAATTTCGAGTCAAAAAAATAAGGGTTATTAATGATTAAACTCAAGGAATAAAAGCCGCCAGCGGCTTATTTTTTGTCGGTCTTTTTTCCTTTCTTAAAAAAATTAAAATTTTTTCGCTCGAAATTGCTGATTTCTCAAAATTTCTAGAGCAAAACAATTCTTGAGCCTCTTTTTCGCGATCCAACGTTCCTGGTGACATGAGTTTGTTTTCTGTTTATCACACGTCTCGCTGGTTAAAATTTCTCGTTTGTTTCTCTTTTTTTTCTCGAGTAAAGTGACTCGACCTTGGATTTCGAGCGAGCGGGCGGTTTTCGGTTGAATTGATCAAAATCGCAGACTTTCCCGCGGCGCGGCCAATTTTTTTCTCTTTGTTTTCAAAAAAATAATTGAAAGAAAAAAATAAATAAAAGGGATTGAAGGTTTAGCCGCACGCGGCTTTTTATTTAATTTTTTTTGATTGATAAAGTGAGAAAATTATTATCTCTATTTTGCGGCTTAGGAAAAAAAGCCGCATAGTTTTTTTTCTGGCTAAGCTTGCTAAGCCAGAAGGTAAAAATTAAGAGTAACTGAGCCAACAGCACTGCTTCCTAAACCAACTAAGCTAAATATTTTTGATGAAGAAGCTCAGCTCAGCTAAGCTCAATTTTGATCAGCTAAATTCAAGCTGTTTAAAACAGCTCCACTAGAGCTTGCTCGAAAAAACACAGCCAGCTAATCTTAGCTCAGCTCAATTTCGAATCAGCTAGCTCAGCTCGGTAGTTTTGAGCTGATTGAGCTGAGCTGAGCTTAGTTTTTACTCCAACTAAGCCCTGGCAGAAGTGAAAAAGGCTTGACTCAGGTTCTGACTCAGGTTGGCCCTGACTCAGATTGCCTAGCCCTGGCTCAGTCAGCAGAGCTCAACTTTTCTCAGCTCTATAATTTTCGTCCTTTTTATTGCCCTAGAAAAACTGCGATTTCTACAGAATGATTAACACTTTCATAACTCGAGTATCGCCGCGGCAGATAATTAACCATTGCGAAAAGCGCTTCTTATCAGTATATGGATAGGCGGCGTTATCGAACTCGCTTTGGCGAAATGAAATCTTCGCTGCGGATTTTATTTGATTTCTTCTGAACGCGCTAAATTCTAATTGCAAGACTGATAACTTATCAGTGATAAGCAAATGACTGATTGCTTATCGAATTCGAAAAATGAAGAAAGTAAAAGAATAAAACCAAAACACAAGTCAAGATGATTTCCAACGACGAAGTTCTTCGCCTGATGAATATTAAAAGAGTGCCGTTTGTTGTTTTCTCGAGAGGCTAAGAACTTGGCGATTTGATGACTTTTGCTCAATTAAGGGGGTATCACTTGTGATTATGATTGAATTTTTTCATTGAATTTTCGAGCTGATACCCTTGATGATTTCAAAAAACTTTTTGCGCGGCCGGAAATCATGAAAAAAGTGCTAGTGCAGTTTTGTCAGGCTCGTCGAGACGAGTCGATTGGTATAGGTCACACTTGAAAAGTTTAAGGATTTACCGGTTAACCGGCTGATTACCGGAAATCACGTTGTCAGCTCCCGTTTTTGTTCTAGTCGTCGGATTTTCATGTTTGAACCGTCAAAATGATCCTTATGATTAGGGTCCACGCTCAAAAAATAGGTACCCGAAATAGAGCTCCTATAATTCTCAAAATTAGATATGTAAAACAACTATAAAAAACAAGCATTTTGACCCTTTTTCAAAAAAAATCTATAAAAGAGTTGAGAAATAATGATGCCTCAAAGTGGGCAAAAATGCAAAATCACCCAAGAACGCGTGTTTTTTTAAATTTAAAATTGTAAAAATATGTTATTTTGAATTCTTAATTCGAAACTAAAATCCTTTTTTTGGAGGATGGCCTAAATTTTACGAAATCGACAATTTTCCGTAAATTCTGAGCCATTTTCAAAGAGCGCGCGGCGCGATGCCTCAGGCGGTCCAAGGGTGTCCACAAAGAAAACAAAGCAGAGCGCTGTCTGGCGCTTCAGCTAACTCAGGTAAGCTTCATACAAATGGCTCTAGAATAATAAATACTAAGAATCAATTTAAAACTACACGTTAGAAATTTAGACAAGGGTCAAAATTTTAAATTTTTCAAAAAAACTCGATCAATTTATTAATTTATTTCAGACAATTATCTCTTTCCTATGGAAGTCAAAAATAAAGAATTCTCAGGCTTTAAAAACCTCCGGATGTCGGCAAAATGACCATTTTAGGAAAACAAGGGAGAAAAGCCCCATCCCTGGCTTTTAAATTTAAATGGGCTTGACGGCCCTTCGGGCCGTCTCAGCCCCATCCCTGGCTTTTAAATTTAAATGGGCTTGACGGCCCTTCGGGCCGTCTCAGCCCCATCCCTGGCTTTTAAATTTAAATGGGCTTGACGGCCCTTCGGGCCGTCTCAGCCCCATCCCTGGCTTTTAAATTTAAATGGGCTTGACGGCCCTTCGGGCCGTCTCAGCCCCATCCCTGGCTTTTAAATTTAAATGGGCTTGACGGCCCTTCGGGCCGTCTCAGCCCCATCCCTGGCTTTTAAATTTAAATGGGCTTGACGGCCCTTCGGGCCGTCTCAGCCCCATCCCTGGCTTTTAAATTTAAATGGGCTTGACGGCCCTTCGGGCCGTCTCAGCCCCATCCCTGGCTTTTAAATTTAAATGGGCTTGACGGCCCTTCGGGCCGTCTCAGCCCCATCCCTGGCTTTTAAATTTAAATGGGCTTGACGGCCCTTCGGGCCGTCTCAGCCCCATCCCTGGCTTTTAAATTTAAATGGGCTTTACGGCCCTTCGGGCCGTCTCAGCCCCATCCCTGGCTTTTAAATTTAAATGGGCTTGACGGCCCTTCGGGCCGTCTCAGCCCCATCCCTGGCTTTTAAATTTAAATGGGCTTGACGGCCCTTCGGGCCGTCTCAGCCCCATCCCTGGCTTTTAAATTTAAATGGGCTTGACGGCCCTTCGGGCCGTCTCAGCCCCATCCCTGGCTTTTAAATTTAAATGGGCTTGACGGCCCTTCGGGCCGTCTCAGCCCCATCCCTGGCTTTTAAATTTAAATGGGCTTGACGGCCCTTCGGGCCGTCTCAGCCCCATCCCTGGCTTTTAAATTTAAATGGGCTTGACGGCCCTTCGGGCCGTCTCAGCCCCATCCCTGGCTTTTAAATTTAAATGGGCTTGACGGCCCTTCGGGCCGTCTCAGCCCCATCCCTGGCTTTTAAATTTAAATGGGCTTGACGGCCCTTCGGGCCGTCTCAGCCCCATCCCTGGCTTTTAAATTTAAATGGGCTTGACGGCCCTTCGGGCCGTCTCAGCCCCATCCCTGGCTTTTAAATTTAAATGGGCTTGACTTAGGCCGGGGCCTCTACCTAGCTCATTTCATTAAGTCAAGCTTTGTCCCCAACCCCACCCACACCCGTATTTTACGTTAGACCTATCGTTCATTTATTTTATATAATTATGGTCTTTACAAAAAATAAAGAAATACTTCTTTTTTTTTTATTTTTTCAAAAATTTTTATTATGAGTTTATTTTTTTATTCATTTGATTTCTAGTTAAGATTTTATTTAATTTCATTAGTGTAATTATCCTTATTTGTAAAATAATGGATTTTTAAAGAAGTTTCGACGTGGCCACCCTTGCGATGCCCCTAGGCCATCGCGCGCTGAGCGAGCTGCGCGCCGCTGATTTTTGCCTTTTTAGGGCCATTTTTACGGGATTGCTGGGAAAAAACTTCATCCTCCAAAAATAAATTGGTCGATTTGGGGTTAAAAAAGGGCTACGATTTCGCCTGTGTTAATTAAAATTTTATAAGAGCCGTTCTTCATGGTTTTTTGGGTGTTTTTTCTTCATAACTCCTCAACCCTTTTTCATTTCGGGTTGAAATTTAGCTTGTTTTACTCAGCTCTTCGAGATCTTCATCTTTTATGTTGATGAAAAGACCTCAAAAGCAATATTTAAAAAGTTTTATTTTTTGAGCGTGGACCCTACTTATGATCAGGGCTTCTCTAGCCTCCGAGATGAGCCGCATATCTCAATTCCTGCCGAGCTTATCACTAAAAGTTTGAATTTTACGTACTTTTTTCACTCTGAAAGTTCATAACGTAAATTTTTTACGGTAAATACTAATAAATCTTCTGCGGTTTTGATAGACAATTGAAAATTAATAATACCCACCGTTCAAAACCTTGTAACCAGCCGGTAAAAAAGCGCTGAATCAAAATTATGCCCTCAAAAACCACTTTTTTGATTATATTTTTCTCCTCAAAGATCGGAACTAGAAGCGGGACCTTTTTGCGCGAAATCAATGCTATTTCTTTTGATAGAGGATTTTTCAGAGAATAAAGGGGTCTTTTTTAATTTTGGATTCCATAACTGGAACTTCTTGTATCACCTTTTCCACTGCTCGCTTTTTTCTCAGGTTGACCAAGTTTGATTCTAGTAGACATTTGATGCCTTCTAGGACATTTAAGATATTTTATCGAGCCCCCGGATGAGCAAATCTCTTCTTGGAAAACTCGGCTTTGAGGAAAC